CCCTCTGCATTGAAAGAAGAGGCACTGCTCATCGTATTTCTCCTCTCCTCAGTTCGAGATAAGCAGGTTAATTCGCCGATGTGCCCTGGCATTCTTCGACAACAGGCTTACACGCATCTGGGTGCTGAGTGGGAGACAAGGTAGGAGTGCCTCGTGATCCGTTTCCCTGGGCCGAAGGAGTCTGTGCCTTGCTCGTGGTGCTTTGGAGCTGACGCCATAGCCGTGCGTTTCTTCACTATGGATTGCCGGCATGCTGGTAAGGTATCAATGGGGAAGTTGGTAGGTTTGACTCTTGGCCGGCTAATGCGTCGGTTGTTGGGAGGTCCGCGGCCACAGGGAGCAGTATGACGCTGGTGATATGATGGAAAGAGAGTTGAGCAATGGAACTTGAAGTGCCTAGAAGAGGTATCAGTGAGGATTCTCTACCAGGTTCACTTGGTAGGTAGGTAGGTAGCATTGGAGCGGCAAGTGCATGTCCGTTTTGACTTACGAGAGATGTATCTAGCTACCTACCTTACTTACACGAAGCTTGGATCCGTGCACCAAGTCAGCGATTGCGACTTAGCACGTTGTAAACGGCCATGAGAATGCTGTTGGTAAGGAGAATGACAGCCAGGGCCCGTGTTTCAGAGTGTCATCATAGGATAGAAATTTGTTTCGCGATGCCTGACAGAGGGGAAGACAATAGAAGAGGTGAGAGTGAGGAGACGGTTTGGGAAGTTGAGCTTATCAGTGCTGATGCGGCGTGATAAGATAAGCTAACTTGATGGGGCCAGTTGACTTGGGGCCAGATAAGAGATTACGGAGGATTCAATATGGGGCTCCGCTGGTTGGTTCGCGTGTCTCGGGATTCTTTCATCAATTGTTCGGTCAGAATAATAAATGATGGTGCAATTGAGGCTCGAGCATCTGCCAGAGAGGGCATAATGCGCAATTGAGGCGGGAGGCTGATGGGAAAAGAGTCCCTGCTCAAGCCACGATGGTATTCGGAGTGGGTAAGACGCCCAGCAGATTCTCATTGTTGCAGCGACTGAATCGCTATTGAGGGGCTCGTCCCGCGCTGGAGCCGGTTCTATTGTCCATCAATTGTCATGGCAGTACCTGCTGCTGGGCTGCGTGTACGCAGCGTGAGCCCTATAGCGATAATGCTATGTATGCAATTGCGTTGCCTGGCTAATCATCGGCTTTCTGGGGCAGGTACTCCGGCAACCCCCCGCCGTACCGGACGCGTCGGCCAGCCTTTTCTGCCCCTCACCGCCCCTCTGCTAGCAAGAGCCAGCTCAGCTCCAAGCCGGATCCAGCACTCGATGCCTCGGAAGCGCAGCTCGACATTGGACAGAACGCGCATCACCAGCAGATCCAGTCCAGCCCCTTGCTTGACTTGAAGCTGCGCGAAGGCGGGCGCACAACCAGACCAAAGCGAAACGAAACCGCTGGCCCACCGCCTGCTCCACCGCCCGCGGCCACAGAGAATCTGGCCAGATATTTGCTCCCCCAGCCGTGCTGCCTTTTATTGCAACTTCTGTCACCAACATCCCTCGATTTCTTGATCTCTACCGCCAATTGACCGTTGGCAGTACCGTCAAGATGTCCAAGCCCACGAGCGTCACGGGCAGCGAGAGCGAGTTCGAGTTCATCGAGACTCCCAAGCCCACCCCGCCGACCTTTGAGAAGGAGGAGGACTGCGGCGTCCGCACCACCAAGGTATGTTGGACGCACCCAGCAGAGAGCTGGTGTTTCTGAGGCTCCAGTGGGCAATTGGGCATCCTGTATGCTGCATGACCAGCTGCGTCTCGGCAGACTGCAGACTGCCTCTACTTGCGAGCCATGGAGCAAGCAACAGCGAGCTGATTTGTTTGCTCGCCTCTAGTATCCTGCCATCAAGAATGCCCCTCTCCCCGCTGATGGGCCGGGCTCCGACTCGTTCAACAACAAGATCCTGCTCTCCATCTTGGGCGGTGTTCCTCTCTGGCTGACCTGGAAGGTTGGCGGCGGCATCAAGACCTTCATCTTCTTCGCCCTCATCGCTGATCTGCCCCTCTTGGCAGGATGGTGGCTCACCATCTCTGCCATCTCTCCCCGCAAGACGGACAAGGCCAAGCTGCCTGGCCGTCCCGTTGAGTACTACCTCGATTTCAAGAAGGAGGCCGACCGTCTCAAGTACCGTGGCACCAACAAGATCCCCATGGAGACCTTCCACGAGATGTACTTTGACGGTGACGTCGAGTTCAAGGGCGACTGCCTCGAGGTTATGGAGTACCGTCACGACTGGGCCAGCTTCCGTTTCACCGTCAGCCTCATCAAGTACTTCTTGACCGGCATGATTCCCGAGCTTATTATGCACACTCGTTCTCAGGGTGAGTTTTCCCAATTGATATGCATCTTGTCAGTTCCTTAAAACACCACAAGAATCCATCTGCTGACGTCATTCTCCCTACGCAGATGAGGAGCAGGTCCGAGACCACTATGACCGCGGCGATGACTTCTACGGCTGGTTCCTCGGCCCTCGCATGATCTACACCTCTGGTATCATCTCTGACATCAACACCGAGGAGACCCTGGAGCAGCTCCAGGACAACAAGTTGACCATTGTCTGCGAGAAGATTGAGCTCAAGAAGGACGAGCGCATGCTGGATATTGGCTGCGGCTGGGGCACCCTCGCTCGCTTCGCCAGTGAGAACTACGGCGCCAAGGTCACCGGCATCACTCTTGGTCGCAACCAGACTGCCTGGGGCAACAGCGCCATGCGCAAGGTTGGCATTCCCGAGGAGCAGAGCAAGATCCTCTGCATGGACTACCGTGACATTCCCGTTCCCGAGGGCCGCTACAACAAGATCACCTGTCTGGAGATGGCTGAGCACGTCGGTGTCCGTCACTTCTCGTCTTTCATCACCCAGGTCTACAACATGCTCGACGATGATGGTATCTTCTTCCTCCAGATCGCTGGTCTGCGAAAGGCTTGGCAGTACGAAGATCTGATCTGGGGTCTCTTCATGAACAAATATGTCTTCCCTGGTGCCGATGCTTCGACTCCTCTTGGCTGGGTCGTTGACAAGCTGGAGGGCGCTGGCTTTGAGATCAAGGGCGTTGACACCATTGGCGTCCACTACTCATCTACTCTCTGGAAGTGGTACCGCAACTGGATGGGCAACCGTGAGAAGGTTGAGGCCAAGTACGGCAAGCGATGGTTCAAGGTAAGCTTTTCTTTCCTTCCGATCCTCTGAGCTATCGGATGCTTGGGCTTTTGATTGCATGTACTGACATTTGTGGATTCTAGATCTGGGAGTACTTCCTGGCCTACTCCACTATCGCTGCCCGACAGGGCACTGCTACTTGCTTCCAGATTGTGATGGTGAAGAACCTCAACTCCACTCACCGTGTCGAGGGCATCCCCAGCCAGTTTGGTCTGTCTGGAGCTTATGACAACTCCGAGGCTGACATCAAGTCTTGGGCCGCCAAGAACAACGTCGCTTCTTCCACCGCCTTCCTCTCGTAAGCGGGAAGGTGCCGGCGATTTGTCTCTGTATGGACTGAATCTTCAATTGCTTGCTATCTCTTGGACAGACGCATTGAAGTTCGTCAAAGGCAATACTATAAGGTGCCTTGAAGCCCTTTTCATGTCGTGTCAAGGTAAACACGGGTTAGGATGAAAAAAAAAAAAGTCTGCTGCTGTATGGATTACTTCAGTTGGCACGGGTAGTTATCATGACGGTCACGACTTTACCTATAATGTCTGAATGGTTATGAGACAAACGGATATGAGTCTAGGGATGGTAGGGTAATAGGGTATCAAAAGGTTGCGACTCCCGTCTCAGGACGGGGATTGATTCGCCAGCATCTACAGTGAGACCCTTGATGGGAAATCACTGACGCCGAGTCTGGGCTAGATGACGCGTTGATAGCAAATAGAAGCTGTTCTCAGGCTCTGTGATTTGGTTTGCTCGTTCTCTCTGCAAGTGTTGTTCCACCTCCTCGATGAGGTAGCAGCTTAGGTATTGCCTTACACGGCTACTCAATGATACCAGTTCGCATGGAGAAATGATTGTCTCAAAGCTTAATTTTACACGAAGGAGCCCATAACGCCCTCTGGTAGTTGAGATTGGTAAGGACGCATAACGCTTCACCATAACCCTAACGCGTTAACAAGCCTTTCAATTAAGTTTCCTACGAACTCTGTATGAAAAATGCACCCTATCATATTGCCAGATAGGGGCAAAGAAGGATACGCAAGATGAGCTCAGCAGCACGGAGGTGTCTGATATACGACACTAGGACAATGCTAACGAACCTGGGATATTCAATCCGTCTCCAATTAACGTTTTAAGAGGCTCGGACTTTTTGCTTTTGGGATTCTGCAGTGCACGGTTTCGTGCCGTGATAGCCAAGCAAGATATGTGCGACTCCCCGCAGCCGGCGAGCCGGAGCTAGCGTTGGCAACGAAGGATATACTATCTCCATCTAGTGATGAGCTACTCGATCGGTCTTACTCTTGAGCTCCCATTGGTGACAATTGAGCAACCACATGCTCGCATACGCAAATGTGTATACCGAGATCTATTCCTCCGCTCGAGCCTTGTCAGCCCGGTCTGACCACAGCCCCGGTTCCCCGACCTGTGCCATTGTTATGGCTTGTCCCCAGAGCGCCACCAGCCGAGAACTCTGCGAGCTGCTGAGATGTGGTGAAGATGGAAGTCGAGGTGGTAGAGAGCTTTTATACGGTGTGCTTACGTGACGTAAGATCTATGGCTAGTTGACAGCGTATGAGGAGCTGGAGCTTCAGATGGGAGTAAGACTGGTGGCTTGTTTGGAAAAGCATGTTTGTTGCTATTATTATTATCGTTATTGCTGTGAGTTATGTTTGATATATATATATATATATATAAGCTGCGGCATGGTGAGTGGTTGTGTTACTCTGTACGCTGAGGTTTGTCAGTCTCACGATCGGACGTTTGTTTAACTAAGAACATTAAAGCCTGATACTCAGCTATACATATTCGAAGATGAGAAAAGCTATCACGGCAGAACAAATCAAGGAGCTTGCTTCTCTGGTGGACTCGTCGACTCGTTTGTTTACTCGCGCGGATGGCGAGGAATATGACAAGTTGATTGCCAGATGGGCTGACAACGCAGTCAAACAGGCTGTAAGTGGCCCATTGAGTGAACTCCAGTAACACAATTGACGGAGACTCATCCATCATAGGGCGTCGTCGCCGTCCCAGTTCAATACGAAGAAGTAGCCAAGCTCGTCAAGTTCGCCGCCGACAGGCACATCGATCTCGCCGTGCGAGGCGGCGGCCACTCCACCGGCGGAACGTCCTCGACAGAAGGCGGGCTCTCCCTCGACCTGTCCAGCATGCGCGACGTTCGGATCGACACGGCGTCGAAGCACATCATCGCCCAGGGCGGCGCCATGTGGGCGGACGTGGACAACGCGGCCATCGAAAAGGGCCTGGCGACGGTCGGCGGGACGGTGAACCACACGGGCATCGGCGGCCTGTCGCTCGGCGGCGGCTTCGGGTGGCTGGCCGGCATGTACGGCTGCGTGGTCGACAACATCGTCGCCGCCAAGGTGGTGATTGCCGACGGGCGCCTGCTGTCCGTGTCGGAGAAGGAGAATGCGGATCTGTTCTGGGCGATCCGCGGCGCGGGACACAACTTTGGGGTCGTGGTGGAGTTTACGTTCCAGGGGCACGACCAGACGAACGAGGTGTATGCGGGGAGCGTCGTCTTCACGGCGGACAAGCTGCTTGCCATCGTCGAGACGCTCAATAAACTGATGGAGTCTGGGGATGCGAAGGGGGCTGCCATTCTGGTCTTTGCGAGGCCGCCGACGGCGCCTGCTCCCGTGGTTGTGACGAATGTGTTTTATAACGGAGATCAGGCTGCGGCGGAGGAGTACTTCAAGCTTTTGTTTGATCTGGGGCCGGTTGCGAACATGGCCAAGATGATGCCGTATAACCACGTCAATGGGTTGTTGAATGCCATGGCGACGCATGGGCGTCGGAAGTCGATCAAGGCGGTTACTCTTACGAACAACGTCGAGCCGGCGTTTATTCAGGAGCTTTTCAACGACTATGTCAAGGTCACTGGGGATAACTCCGATCTGGCGCACACCTTTGTGGGCATGGAGTTTTACAACTTGGAGAAGCTCAACAGCATTCCCATCGAGGCCATGGCGTTTGCCAACCGGGGGCCCTACAGAGCGGGAGTCGTTGGCTTGGAGTGGACGAATGATAAGATGGATGAGGAGAACAGAGATTGGGGCCGGATGATCCAGGCCAAGTGTCGGCAGAAGATTATCAACAGCAAGGAGTACTCGCCCGAGACGACCAAGACTGCGTTGGAATATGCCAATTATCTTGAACGTAAGTTTGTTGTTGCTCGCCCCCTTGCTTTCTGTAAGAAGTCGGATGGGATGAAAAACTGATGATTTTGGTGTGTTAGCTGGTGATCTTATGGGTGATAAGCCGTTTGGTGTGAATCAGCGACGGTTGGCGGTTTTGAAGCAAAAGTACGATCCGGGGTGTGTGTTTTACAAGACGAGTCCGATTGCGCCGCTGGTGACGGCGAGGAACTGACTATCCGGTGTGAGGCGCGTTGTGCGGAGCTTGCTGTAGCCCGTAGACTGTCTGGATCAAGCGGCTGAGGGATGAGGCTGTACACAAGGCTGGTTTGCTACCCTTCATCAAGACTCGGGGGTCATATGTCATAGCTCCCGGTATGACGGAACAAGAAGAGCTTCTATGGCTTCTATGTAAAACAGCAAATCAAGGAAATTCTTCGTCTTACACTTTCACAGCGCCCGCTTGCATCTTGTGGCCGTGATCATGGGATTACCCCCTTTATGACAAAACAATGGTATGATGGGGGAATGAAAGTCAATTGTTACTATATAAATTGATACGAGAGCCTCTTTAGCATGAAGATCTCTTCCCGCTTCAGATGGCCTTCTTGCATATATGGATCGAGGTGGAGGCCAAAGGGGAGGCATGTCATCATTTAGTGCCTTGGTGTACTCGTACTGTATGTAGCCTTGGAAGACCCCACGACTCCTGCATGCTGGCTTACAAGTATCCGGCGAGAACAGCTCATCTATCAGTCATGATTGGTCTACATCGACTAAGAATAGACAAGAGAATTGGGAGACAGCCCTTTCTTGAAGCTGTCTCTGAACCCGTTTAGGAAGGTACCAAGACTTCAACTTCTACTAAGAATAGACAGTAAATTACTGTTCTGCCGGATTTCGGATCATCGGCTGCAGGGGGCATCAGGCCTCATATAGCAATATAATAGACAAACCGTGATGTTTTTCTCCGAATCATGGGGTATATAAGGCTGGCCAGAAACTCCCAATGGCTTTTGGAGTTCTGTATCTCGAGTCAGTTTCATCTCTCACTGAAAGCGTTCTGTTCAACCGACTCAGACAAACATGATCTTCCAACACTCTCTCCTCGCCGCCCTGGCATCCCTCGCCCTGGCAAAGCCGACTCCCACCAGAACAACCTCCAACCCATCCATCAACGCCCTCGAGAAGCGCGCCCTCTGCAACGACCACGAAAACCAGCTCGCAACATGGTACGACAAGGGCACCGACCCGAACCAGATCACGGCCTGCGGGCACAAGTACGACCCCACGGCCATTGTCGTGGCCATTTCCACCGACGTGCCCAACTACAAGAACTACTGCGGCCGGCAGATTCTCATCTCTTCAAGAGAGCAGACGGCTGCCGTCATTGCGATTATCGACGATGCTAACGCTACGGGGACGCTGGGGGAGTTTGCGCTGGACTTGTCGCCGGCGGTGTTTGATATGCTTTCGCCGACGGATCATACGGTGGATGCGGATGGGGAGGTTGCGATTGATTGGGTTGTGCTTGGTGGGGATCCTTGCCCTTGAGGGTTTGGAGAAGTGATGATTGTAATGACTTCGTTATGAGACACATGGAATACGTTGAAGGACGGAAAGCGTTGCCTGTCACCAACTACATATGTATCTGTATGGTATAGTTGCGCAATGTAGAAAGAATAGTTAACTTGGTCTCGACTTATCATTGTTGCTGGGTACGTTGAGTTCTGATAATGCTTTGTTGGTCGCATATAGTTCGTCCAAAGACAACAGAAGCTTTTGGCCTGACTTCCCGTTGTGATATCTTCTCCACGCAAAAAGTGATCGTTTGTTTAATCTCTATATGTGGAATGGATCGCAGCTGATTACATGCGATATTCCATCAATATTCTAATGCGTTCCCGATTTCCACCCGTCAAAACAAAACCAGAATAACGCTCGCTTGTCCCTGCTATGAACCGGGTCTCACTTCAGCCACAGATATCCAACCGAGTGTTGTCCTGGCCTACAGCTCATCCTTCTTCAGGTGGCTCTTCTGCTTAATCTTCTCGCCACTCAGGCTACGGAGACGGAAGGCCTTGCCAGCATGTCTGGGCACACGAACGTCAAAGCGGCCGCCAGACTTGATAACACCAACACGCTCACCAAACAACCTCGGGTCCTCGCGCTTGAGTCCCTCAGCGTAGGACAGCTCGGTCGAGTTGTACCACCCCAGCTTCTGCAGCTTCTGCTTCCGCTCCGAAGCACTGTCGGCGTCGAGAACGGCCTGCGCATCCTCGTTGCTCATGGCGGCACCCGTCTTGCCCCAGAGATCGTGGACAGCCCAGTCCTGCTTGTTCTGGGGCGCCGTGCCGCCGACGCCGTTGGTGAGGAAGATTTCCGCGAGGGTGGCGCCCATGTCGAGGTCCTCGTCGGCAAAGTTCAGGAAGACGAGGATCTGGTCGCCGTTTGCGAGGGGGCCGCTCCAGATGTGAGTCTCGCCAACGCCCCACTCGTCCTTGGGGACGTTGAAGTTGCGTCGGATGCGCTGGACGGCACGGCCTCGGGGATCTTGGTTGATGGCGATGACGGCGGGGTTGGTGACGATGGCGAGGTCGGAGCCGGACCACTTGCGGAGGTCGGTGCCGAGGAGCAGAGGGGCCTTTAGGGCAGCCCAAATGGTGAAGTGAGCTCTGTACTGTTTGAAAGCTGTTAGTTCCATGCAGTCCCTGTCAAGATTCAACAGTTACCAACCTCTTCTTCAGTCATCCCGCCGTGGCCAACCTCGAGCATGTCAAGATCGTTCCAGCCACCAGGGAGACCACGATCGATGTAGGGCACAACTCGGTTGATGATGGCCAGCACCGAGCAATGAGTGCCAGGGGCAATGCAAGCAGGGTTGGCGGGATCGTTGCAGGAGCATAGATCATCCGGACGGGCAAACGAATCGTAGATGTCACCGAAGACGCGCCATGAGTTACTGATGGACGCAGCCCACTGTATGATAACTCATGTAAGTCTCTAAACGTCACAGGGAGGGCTTGATGGTCATTTTTGCGACTTACACTGTAGGAGTAATCCTCGCCCCAGTTGCAAAGGCTGTAGAAGATGTTCTTGCCAGTGGCCTTTAAAGCCTCGGCCATCTTGTTGAAACGCTCAAATGATATGAGGGGCGTGCCGAAACGGCCCATGTGGTAGCAGTTATCGTACTTGAGATAATCAACACCCCAATCGGCAAAGCTCTGGGCATCGTCCATTTCATGGTCCAGCGAACCAGCTGTATCAGGTCAGGAATGGTCGAGTTCATTCAGTTTTGACGTTTTACTACGGGGTGTTGCAGCAACTCACCATATCGTGCGCAAGTCAGTTCACCAGCGCTGGAGTACATGCCAAAGAGGAAACCTTGGGAATGCAAGTCATCCGCCACAGCAGCCATTCCCCGCGGGAACTTCTTCTTGTCGGCAATGAGCTTGCCCTTGCTGTCACGGCCATCGGACCAGCAGTCGTCTAGCACGACGTAGTTGTATCCCAAGTCCTGGAGACCATATTCGTTGATGAGCTGAGCGTGGTCCAGCAGCAGGTGCTCAGAGACGTCACAGCCGAAAGAATTCCAGTTGTTCTACGCCAAGTCAGTGACTTTCTGATCAACGTTCGACAACTCTCTGTTGTTTGACAAGGAAAGACTAGAGCTTACCCATCCCATCTGCGGGGTTCTCGCAAGACCATTGTCGATGGCCTCGACAACAATCGCAGAGACGGCGACAGCCAGCGCACTTTTGGTTAACATCTTGGACCAGCAAGGTGGGTTTGAAGCCCCGACAAGAAAGAAGAACAGTTGGACGATGAGTTCAAGAAGTCATACGGAAGACAGTATACCATATAGCTACTGGCTGAACCATATAAATACAGAGACTCTCCAACTCTTCTTTCAAGGCAAAAGCCTCAACCGACAAACCACCCCCGCCAAGCCACCGTTTCCCCCAGCTATTGAGGTCCAAAGACGGAACCCCGTTTTCCTGATGCGGGGTTCAATTGGGATTATCTCGACTCTTTCCTTTGACCGGCTTCCGGGCTTTTCCCCATACTGTGATTAGTAGCAAAGCAGCAGGGTCCGAGGCCGGGGAATTGATCACGAGCAAAGCTAGCGGCTGATCAGCCGTGGTTGTGTCTGGGGAATTGTTCGGGGGACGTCGGCGCTGCTCCACACGGATAACCATCGTTCCCGAGGCCACGGAAAAGCTGACCGAGGAAAATTATCAGGGCTTTTCTGCTCCGTTGGGGAAGTATGTATGCAGGGCCGGGACCCAGGGACGTGGCACCCGGTCGGGAGGGATGGAGATTTGATGCTTGCTTGGAACAAAACACGGAGGATTACTATTCCACCAAACATTGGCGAGGTTGTACCCCAGTTGCAGGTTGGGGTGGCTTGAGTCCGTGGAGATGTGAGGGGAACTGTTTTGGGGCGTGTTAGTCTAGCTAGTACTGGGCAACCATTTGGCAGCGACAGGGAGAGGTTCTGTCTGATGATCTTACATATTCATCACCGACGAAGAACAGAGAAAGCGATACAATGGCAATTTGTAATCTATTGGGGTCAAGTGCTACTTCGCCGCAATGCCCTTCTTAGTCTGCTAGAAGACAGTGATGAAGGGGCGAAGACGTAACGCCTCGCCTCAGACAGTGTATTATTCACTTGGAACCAATAGTGATCACATAGAGCAAGATCTGGATGATGTCTTCCTTCTCAGGGCTACATTATGTGTAATCGACACTACTGTATAACACCTTTCACTTGAAGTGGTCGTCGACCCATCCGCCGCGCGATGCAAGTTGGAGATTTCGGGTACCTTTGCAGGACGGGAGAGGTCCTCAACGGAGGCGACCCTACATAAGTCATGCATTGGGAGGATCTTAGCTCTCGGTAGTGTATGCAGTACAATGATTGGTTGGGTTGGGTTGCAGATGCGAGAACGTTGATGCACAATGCAGAGCACCCGTGTCATTACCGCAACCGGAAGGCGATGGGAAGATGATTTGTTGGCTTGGCTAATCGTTTGATATACATACAAGCTACTGTGGGCATCGTGTTTTGGCTCGTTCTGTGGAGGCTGTTGCTTAGGAACAGTATACGTATAAGTTTCTAGCAACGGGATGAAGTTCAGAGAGTAATCGGGATGATATGAAGCCATTGACCATATTTCCCCTCTCTTCATCCATCATACTACATGTGCATCCTATGCACTATAGCATACCTTTCGCCAACCAAATTGTGTGACTGCTCATAAGTAGACCTTGCTTTCTTTTACCAGTGATGAACATGTGTTGGATCGGTATCTACTGTAGGGTATTCTCCTCTTACTTTGACGGTTGGTAGAACTTAAGAAATATGGGCACCGTCAAAGTGCCGAGCATACATGTAGGATTGTCGCCCTCTAGATACAGTAATCGGTAGACGTAATCTATCAAAAACACACCCCTTGATCAAAAACTCCATGCTCTTAGCTCTATTACCATTCTCTGATCTCGCCGTCCGGTCCTCTGAAGGAGGGCGAGTCCCACGGCACACAGTCCTTGGACAGCTTGCGGACCATCTCCTCATCCACTTCGATTCCCAAACCGGGGCCCGACAGCACCTTGATGTAACCATCGTCGACTTTCCAAATCTCCGGGTTCTTGATATATGTCTCGATATCCTGTCCTGTGTTGTTATAATGAATGCCTACGCTCATCTCTTGAATGGCAAAGTTTGACGAAACAGCGTCGACCTGCACGTTTGCAGCCAAGGCGATAGGCCCCAGGGGGCAATGAGGAGCCAATGCAACGTCATACGTCTCGGCCATGGAAGCGATGCGCCTCAACTCGGAGATGCCACCGACATGGCAGATATCAGGCTGCAGGACATCCACGCATCCCGCCTCCAGATACGGCCGAACGTCCCAGCGGCTGTACAGTCGCTCACCAAGGGCGATCGGACAAGTTGTAAGCTGAGACAGCTCTTTGATGCCGCCCAGGTTCTCGGGCAGCAGCGGCTCCTCGATGAAGAGCGGCCGATGAGGCTGGAGGAGCGCGGCGAGCTGTTTGGCCATGGGCTTGTGGACGCGGCCGTGGAAATCGACCGCGGCATCCATTCCGAGGCCTTTGACGATTTTTATCCTTTTAACTACGTCGTCGAGGACAGAGGGGGAGTCGAGCCAGCAGACGTCTCCAGTTCCGTTCATCTTGACTGCGTGGAAGCCCTGCTCTTTCCGAGCCAGACTGCTTGACATTAGCACCGAATGCCTACAACCCTTCTTTCTCCATTCCAAACTCATTTCCGAGAAAAGAATCAAGAAAGACATTGATGTCAAAGCACACTCACGCTTGTTGCTCCACCTCATCGGGGCGGTCGCCTCCAATCCAGGCATACACTTTGAGCTTGTGCCTCACCTTTCCTCCGAGAAGCTGATATATAGGCACGCCGAGTTTCTTGCCTGGATGTCGCCAAGTCAGAAGAGAGAAACGACCAACCTCATGGTTCTCGATTACCTTTCAAATCCCACAACGCAATGTCGATTCCAGAAAGCGCACTCATGAAAACCGGCCCTCCTCGATAAAATCCGGTCCGCCATGCCATTTGCCAGATGTGCTCGATATCGCTGGACTTGGTAAGCACTCAATTTCGTTCCAAAATAAGCCCTAATTGATCGGACGGATCTCGATCAGTAAGAACATACTCGGCATCGTGTCCCTTGAACTTGGTGAACCACGCATCTAAGCATCCCTCGACTGCCTGTGTATGTCCCTCCAGCGATGCCTCGCCCCAGCCGACGTTCCCGTCCTCGTCGGTGACTTTTACGAACAGCCAGCGTGGCGGGACGCGGAAGTACTCCATCGACTTGATTTTCGCCATGGTGTGTAAGTGGTGATTTTCAGCGGCTTTCCCAATGCAACGGCCAACGCAACCAGAACCCTCGATGTAATAGTCAGTGAAAGAATCTAGAATAATCTTGCGTTCGTGGCCTCTGGAAACTTTGCATGTTTGTATATTAATTCACCTCCCCGGCGAAAAACCAGGGAGAAACACAGCCCTGAAAGAAAGGCCTCCCCCATGACCGCCGCGGAACTCCACAACAAGCGCTTTGCTTTGCCCTTGCTGATCCTTCGTACACGGTTCGAACGGCTTACCTGTTCGGGGGAGAGACGCGCAAGGTTCCCCCGCTTCCCCAAGTTGAAAAAGAGGCTGCCCCCACCGTTCCCCTGTGGCCTTCGGACACGGAAAAGCAGAGAGGGGACCGAGCAGCTCTGCTTTTTCGTGGTGTGGGGGATGGAGCTTGCTGGACCCCGGGGTAGTGTGGCCCGAGGCTTGTGGCCGATGATGGTCCGACAGGGGACTTATTTGAAGTGCGATGACGCTCGATGGATGACGAGAGAAACGAGGGGCAGCTGTTGGAGAATTTTGAGATATCTTGACTGCGAATTCCTCGACAGAGACGGCGGTTTGGCATTCTATAGCTTCTGGTCGGCACAGCAATAATTCTCAGGTTCCGGCTGCGGAGATCAACCATCATGGCCTCCTCACAAACAGCACCGCCTCCCGGCGTCTTTGTCCCGGTCCCGACCTTCTTCAAGCCGGCCTCCGCCTCTGGCGATTCCATCGAGCCCGTGGTCGACATCGAGACGCAGGTGGCTCACACCGTCTTCCTGGCCAAGGCTGGCATCACGGGCCTGACCATTCTCGGATCGACGGGCGAGGCGGTCCATCTGTCGCGGAAGGAAAGGCACGACCTCGTGGCCGGCGTCCGGGCCGGGCTCAACGACGCTGGCTTTGCGAATTATCCGATCATGGCCGGGGTCCTCACCAACAGCGTCGGCGAGACGCTCGAGTGGCTGCAGGACTACGCGGATGCCGGAGCGCAATGGGGGTTGGTTCTCGCGCCTGGGTATTTCGGAAAGGCAGTCAACCAGCAGAACCTCATTGACTGGTTCACTGCCGTTGCAGATCGGAGTCCGATTCCGATCTTGATGTGAGTTAATTTGTCTTGCAGTTGTGCATCCTGCGGGTTCATGCTGCGAGGGTCGGGTGCCTTGTCTAGGTTGTGGCTGGTGTTGACATTTGCTTCGTTCTCACAGCTACAACTATCCGGGGGTTACCAATGGACTACTTGCGGAACCGGATACCTACAGAGCGCTCGCCAAGCACCCGAAGATTGTCGGATGTAAAATGTACGTGCATATAGACTGAATCTGCCAATTCCGTTTGTTGTTTTCGAGAGACACGGCTCTTCTGATCCCGAGATGTTGACAATCCCCTTCTTAGGTCCCATGGAGACGTCTCTTACCACGTTCAAGTATCGACTGACCCTCAAATCGACCACAACGCATTCCGAGTGTACAGCGGGTTTGGCCAGCAGCTTGGTCCGATTGTTCTGTTTGGCGCCGCAGGTGTGATTGATGGACTGGCCGCCTTTTACCCCAAGACGGTGGTGAGGCTGTTTGCTCTGGCGAACCAGGGATCGTTCCCAGCAGAAGCCCTGGCTGAGATCCGGAGGCTGCAGTTTGCTGTTAGCCGTGCGGAGGAGTTTATCGGCAAGACTGGAATCATTGGCATCCGTGAGGGCATCATTCGAAAGACGGGGTTGGGAGCGCTTGAGGGGGGAAGGTTGCCGCTGAAGGGAAGGCTTCCGGAGGAGAACTGGACGGCGCTGCATAAGCTGTATCTGTCTGATATCGAGCAGATTGAGAATTCATTGTAACTATAGTTGGTCTAGAAAGCGAGCAAATAGAATAGCAGTCCGACTTTCCAAGCTTTGCTCACACGGGGCAATTGGCTTTTGATGATGGTGATATGGGCCAGCTTAGGGGAGACCCAATACTTACCTGTCAATTCGACAGGCGGTTCTGTACGTCATCAACAAACATGAATATTGCATGCAGGCTTGAACTGACTATAATAGCGGTACAGGTCGCATTCAGATCTATCTGGCTTACCTCTTGGCTTGTATAATTCTCAAAGCTATTCACTTATCAGTTGCTCTCATAGTCCTTCTAATTTGCAAACAACTCCCTGAGCTCCAGCATCGAGGGTCTGATCCCATACATTCTATGGAACTGACGCGGCGTGCCCCCATGACACCTTTGTGTTCTTTGCCTCTTCCATGCCGGGGTTCCCTGCCGCGACGGCATCATACTAACAGATCAAAGGTCTCGCATTGCTGAGATTATGATATGCTCGAGTTGTGGCGCGTTTGGCTGGAGCGGAGCCAACTGCAAGAATTGGTTAGCAAACCGGTTTTTGTTTTGGGAGCCAAGTTGTGATACTTGCATGCTGTTCAACAAAACTCAACCTCGGATAGTTGTCGTCCACATGATCCTGAGCCACTGCCTCGGTGACTGGGTTAATGTGACTTCAAATGGGGTGATGCTAAAGCCTGGATATTTAAGGTCGTGTATCTTCAAAAGTCAACAAGAGTGGGCATGATGCTGCGAGTCCCTGAAAAGGCAACACAATAGTAGCACTGCGGAATCATCTTGCACTCGGGGGTTCGTCGAACTCATTGCCAAAACGGCGTTGTCAGATATACCACGAAGTTCAAGAGGAGATAACCCTCCCACGCACCAACTGTCAAAACAACGTGCTTCCGTCGGCAAAGTAAACGTATCCTCTTTCTTCATGCTTGAAATCCATGAGCTGATATCCAGCATCACCAGCTACTGGTGGTGGTCGAGGGCTAAGCAAGCGATGGTCTGGGCCATTATGAGCATCCATTCAAAGTTCAGCTTGACCGCCCTCAGCTTCAGAAAGAGCATCACTGCCAGGTGTCTGGAGATGCCGCAGCAAGATGCCAGCCGTAAGATAGATTCTTCATGATTGCTTTCCCACCTCGATGCCCAATGTTCCGCTTTTGCGGCGACCAAAGGAGAAGGTTACTCTGGGCTGTTTGGTGGAGGGAGATTTTAGGCCTGAGAAGAGTATCAATTAGAAACCATCGGGACTCAAGGCCCCTGTGTCGCCATAGAGGCTTCTGACATGGCTGGCTGAGTGATGTTCAGGATGGTAGCTGGTGGTGTTGACCGGTTCAGTAGGACTCGCCAACTCAGTGTAGAGATATCCGGACTGTAGAGTAATCATCCCAGTCGAAGACGATTATACGTCGGCGAATTGTGCGGTACATTTACAATGTTGAGGAGTTTTCTCTACCAGTACATGATACAGGTTGACAGCATCGGAACTCATGAATCCTGCTCCATCGTATGTATCGTATCCTCACATCGGCTACAGAGGAGAAGTCGAAATGCGGAGAAAGCCAGGCTGCACCGTTTCCGTCACAAGCCAGACACTGTGGAGGCTACTTGTACTAGCACAAGTAATAACTGACTACATGTACCGAGTTCCGGCTGCTTGGAGAGTAGAAAGGCCGCGGATTTCGGGGCGGAAGCACAATGTGATAGTGCGTCGGAAACAGTGGAGCTGCCCGCACTTCCTCCGCATTTGATGGTGAAGCTTGTCTGCTTTGCTCAGCCTGCTGACTGATGGGGTTTGTCGACAGCATCACCGTTGACACTTCTGGGCTTCACTGTTTTGGCTGTACGGAGCAGTATATAGTGTGTTTGAGAGCGTTCAAAGGCATTGAGACAGCGAGCTTGTTCCCCGTCTCCGTCCCTCTCTCTCCAGTCTGCTTCATCAAGTTGACAGCCAGTTGTTCTCCCCTACCCCACCAGCCGCGGAGATAAAACAAGAGCAACTCTTCTTCAGCGCCAGGGTCTTGCAAGCAAGAATATTACTGTATTAGACAAAAGACAAAGATGTCCTTTGCAGGAAAAGTCTACGCCATCACCGGCGGCGCAAGCGGAATCGGACTAGCCACGGTGAAGCTATTGGCCGAGCAAGGAGCCATCGTCTGCTTCTCAGACGTCAACACAGCCGCCCTGGCCGAGGCTGAGGCCTACCTCAAGGAAAAGGGGGCAAAGTTCACCGCCACCAAGGTGGACGTGTCGAAGAAGGCCGAGGTAGAGGCCTGGATCGATGGCATCGTCCAGGAGTTTGGGAAGCTGGACGGCGCCGCCAACATTGCGGGCATCATTGGCAAGCACCACTCGATTCACTCGGTGGAGGAGCTGGAGGATGAGGAGTGGGACAAGATTATCGCGGTGAACCTGACGGGGTGCATGTACTGCATGCGAGCTGAGCTGAGGAATATTAAAGATGGTGGCTCGATCGTCAACATGGCTTCGATCCAGGGCATTACAGGTACGTGGGGACGCATTCTTTCTTGACTACATGGTTTGATTTTCAGATCATCTGACTGTGAGCCCGCCGCCACGCAGGTCTGCCCTATCACGGGGCGTATGGTGCCAGTAAGCACGGGGTTGTTGGCCTGACCCGAATAGCGGCCAAGGAGTATGGCAAGCGGGAGGTGAGGGTGAATGCGGTGGCCCCCGGATCCATCTACACGCCAATGATGCAGCAGTCATGGGATGCGACTGGACGGCCTGCGGATGCCCCCTTTGATGATCCCACGGCTTTTCAGAGGCAGGGGAAGCCAGAGGAGGTTGCCAAGGTTGTGCTGTTTCTGCTGGGGCCGGACAGCAGTTTTGTCAGTGGGAGTGTTTACTCGGTGGATGGTGCGTGGCTTTAGATGGAGTGAGTGTAGCATCATGCATGAGATACACGAAAAGTTATAATGATATTTTAATGCGATATATTGCTATCCGTTCCTCTGATTCTCTTTGATTATAGGTATGGCGTGTCGATGAGGCCATCACTTCGAACTTGACAGAATTTGCACCTCTCAGCTGATTCTAACCGTTCCAAGACTATTGAAACTTTGCCGCAGTCGAAAGGTCCGACACGAGTGGCAAATATGGTCGTGAATGGACCAATTGCATGAGTGTCCCTCCTGAGCTCGCCCAGGATGATGAACGTTGCAGCTTGTAGAGCCAAGAAGATGGTGTATTCCCTCCACTTATGGAAGGCAAAGGACGCCTGCAGGCTGCAGCACGTTTGTATCACGATGCCATTAGTCAAATGAACTATTGGTGTTCCTGTTTCTTCTCTTCTACCTCAAAGGAACCAAACTACAGCATTCGCCCCCTATGTGATGGAACATTAGATACATGTATATGCAACGTTTTCCGCCCATCTGGGACGCCTCTCCCTTGCCGTAGTACACTCCCGACTTTCAGCTCGGAGGTTTCTTCGGCTATTAAGCCGTTCCAATGTGATGAACGATTTAACAATAATCATACCGAACACGGTTTGTTTTTCAACCGACTCAAATGTTGTTGTCGTGCGTGTAAGTGTGTATTGTGATGTCAAAGTGAGTTTTCCGACGGAAATACAAACAGCTACTTGTTGGCGGAAAACCGCCCAATTTTGACGGGGACTTTGGTGCGGCGTATTTCTGTGCCGCTGTTAGTTTACAGGCAGTCTAAACCCTGTGTTGTATTTGATGGAGAAATAAATGAGCAAGGGCGGCGAGATGTCACTCGGAAGAGATCCCTTACCTGAATGGGTTTCGGAGCTAGCATATTCGGTATATGGAAGCCGGGGAAATGAACGAGACGACTCCTTCGTAATATACAGTTTGAGTGGCGAGTAGATGCGGGCCGGATGATTTTCAGCGTGACACTTTTGCAGGGGAAGATGGTCCAGCTTGCTACTTCGTACATGTATGTGGTTACTGGTTCGGTCCGACGGCATGCGTCGGCGTCGAGAACGAAGGATATGCGGAGAATATATGAAAAGGCCTAGGGATACGATACAACCTGCCACGGAGTAACCAAATACCTGGGTTCGCTATGCTTACTGAAGATGGGGAAAATACTACGTACGTACCAGTGTGTGACTGAATACTGGGTACAGTGGACTTTCTATTGATGGATGATATATGTCAGTAGCTGGAAGGTTGCATCCTCGAGTTACAATGGATATTAGTGTTTAAGATGGTCTGGGGTAGGTGGGCCTAGGACATTCTCGTGATGGCCTGGCGATGTGTTTGCGGAGCATGCGTCGGGGTTGATTCCCGTAAATGACTTACTACTGTTATTCAGGAAGCAGTCCTTGTGCTCGAGGGCTCGCGTTTAGAATCTTGCCTCATCCATTCGGTATACGAGTGCCGTGCGTCACGCAAGTCAAGACTGATTAAAGACGAAGAGGGGATTAGTGAACGAATGTCATATTGTATTCTCTCATTGCTTGCCTCCAATCTGTCATCTGTCTATGAAATTCCCTCTCCTCCACCTATGTCATCCCGTTCAGACACAAGAATATCCCCCAGAAAAGCCCAGCCGTACTGCCAACTAATTGCCGGTAGTCAAAAGGCACAACACTCAAGTTCAAAAGACCAATGATCGGCCACACGCGATATCCCGCAATAAGCATGGGCCAAAAGTCCTGCACGTTGAGCCGTTAGCTTCCGTCTCTCTGTCCCCCCTGGTCTCCCCCATGGGGAAACCAAGCTTTACGTTATGCGAACAAGTGGAGAAGGAGGCAAAAACAGCAACTTACACGCTGGATGTTGGTCCAAATCTGAGCCTGGCTCTGGAACGTCATGCCACCCATGAGGTAGAGAAAGGCCAGCGTGTTGAGCGGAGCGCCGAACAGCTGGTCTAGCACGAACTTGGCTGCCGTGTTGGTCCAGTTGAGGCGGTCCTTGACGGGCACTACTTGGGCGCCCTGTTGGGCTTGCTTTTCCGGCGGTTTGGACGAGGTCGGAGATGGTTCGTGGATGGGCGTCCGGGACGGGAACTTGCGTTCTAGGAATTCTTGCCACTTGTAGTTTGGTGGTGTGACGAGGATGGAGTAGACGATGAACCGCAGGATGGACTCTATCTCGACATCATCGAACGACTTTTGATGCAATTAGCTCATGCGAACACTCGCAAAAAGAGGCTAGGAAAGTAAGGAATGATGGGCAGTGAGAATGAGACATATCCCAGCCTACCTTGTTCCTGTATGCCGTGATGCCCTGCGCACACACGCCAGACAGCCCATTGAGCAGCGTGGCCTGGAAGGTCGCCTCGGCAACCTTGGAGTCCAGCATGATGGGCAGGCAAAATTGACACAGCCTGGCTGCTGGAAAGTAATGCCGAAGCAAGTAACAGAACGCCCGCTACCGACGCTGAAGTGGCACGACGACTCCAATTCTGATGTGTAATTCCAGCGTGTGTGATGCAATGAGGCTATTTGAACGCCGTCGCCCGGATATGCCAGGCGTCGCCCGGGACGAAGATATCCGTCAGGCTAAGAAACCGCTGCCACGGGTCGGAGAGACTTCTTCTGCTAGTTCGTAAACCGAACAAGACACAAGCGAGCCTTGGACAGAGAGAGCAAGAAAAGCTGCTAAACCCAGTTCAAATGACGGAGCTGACTTTGGCAGGTTGAGGAGCGTCGACTTTTTGTCTAGCGTCAGATGCTGGGCCCCCTCGTGGCTGATGAACCCCTGTCGGGTCTACCCTGGTAACAAGCACGCACAGCTTCGTTTCCAGCGTTCAGGTTGGCCGAGGGCCGGCGTTTTACCCCGCGTCGAGCAGGCAGAGGAGAAATGTTCGGCGGTTGGTTGAGCCTCTTGAGCCTTGTCCTTCCCCCTTCCTCTGGCCGTGCGAATTGAGTGGCGTCCGTACTTCGTACCTTGTGGTGACGGATCACTTCTTTGTGGGGGTTAGCCGATTGTGGGGTAAGGTATGGGGAGAAAAGCTGGGGAGTTCTAGATCTCTACACGTACCAGTCATCGTGTTGATGGTTTAGGTTGGTCTGGTAGTTTAGCAAGGGGGGTCAAGCAAGGTTTGAACCCATGAAGGGCGAGCCGTTGCTGGCGCTTGGGGATGGAGGTAATGACAACTTCTATAAAGAGTAGAGGCCTGGACATCCCAGGAAACGTGGTGTTAGTTGGATCATCACGAGGCGAGGTTTGAGACAAGGCCTGGATCACCTAGTCAAGACATAAGAATCACCGCTCCAGGCACCTCTCACAGCTTGTCCAAAGTCTTATCTCTGTTCTTCATCTGGTTGCTCGCGTGCTTTCTTGACTGAAGTGCACGGCACTACTACCACCAACAGAGCACAACACAACCTCCACTCCACAGCCCGTCGATCCTCCAACATGGAAAAGGCCGGCGTGTCCACTCTCCACGAGGAGAGCCTCCCCATCGAGGCCGGGGAAAAGGCCGGGATCAACCAGATCGCGGACGATGCGAAGCTCGCTGCCGTGGCCGAGCATGAGCTGACGCCGATGCAAGCTGTGCGCAGGTACCCAAAGGCCATCGCCTGGTGTCTCCTGATCTCAGCATGTGTCATCATGGAGGGCTACGACACCAGTCTGCTGAGCAACTTCTACGCCTATCCCGAGTTCGCGAAGCGGTACGGAAAGTTCAACGACATCTCGGGCAACTACCAGCTGTCGGCGCCGTGGCAGGCCGGCCTGAGCAACGCCTCCGGTGTGGGATCGTTCTTCGGGACCCTCCTCAACGGCTACCTCGTCCACCACTTTGGCCACCTGCGCGTCATCTCGGGCTCCCTCTTCTTCCTCAGCTGCTTCGTCTTCATCGTCTTCTTCGCCCCTAACACGACCGTCCTCCTGGTTGGTGAGCTTCTCTGCGGCTTCCCCTGGGGAATCTTTGCGACGACAGCCCCTGCTTACGCATCTGAGGTGTTGCCCATGGCACTGCGTACCTACCTGACCAGCTGGACGAACATGTGCTTCATCATTGGCCAGCTGATTGCCTCTGGTGTTCTGGCTGGACTGGTCAACAACCACACCCAGTGGTCGTACAGAATCCCCTTTGCCCTCCAGTGGTTCTGGCCTGTCGTCCTGGGCCCCATCCTCTACTTTGCCCCCGAGACCCCGTGGCACCTCGTCCGGGTCGGCAAGATCGACGAGGCCAAGAAGTCGCTCCGCGCTCTGCGAACGAACCCCACCGACGAGGAGATTGAGGAATCCCTCAACCTCATCATCTACACCAACAACCTCGAGGAACAGCTCTCCGTCGGAACGTCCTACCGGGACTGCTTCAAGGGCTTCGAGCTGCGACGAACCGAAATCTCGTGCATGTGCATGGTCGGCCAGGTGCTGTGCGGAATCTCCTTTGCCTACAACTCGACCTACTTCTTCCAGCAGATTGGCCTGACGCCCACGCAAACCTACCACCTCAACGTCGGCGGCACCGGCATGGCCCTCTTCGGCACGCTGCTCTGCTGGTTCCTCATCATGCCCAACTTTGGCTACCGCACCACGTACTGGGTCGGGATGGGAGGCATGTGCTGCATCCTGGTGCTCATCGGTGGTTTGAACGCCCGCACCAGCGATCACTCGGTTGCCATGGCCCAGGCTGTTCTCACCCTCGTCTGGACCCTGATCTTCCAGCTCTCCGTCGGCCAGCTAGGTTGGGCTCTCCCCGCCGAGCTGGGATCAACCCGTCTGCGCCAAAAGACCATCTGCCTCGCCCGAAACTCGTACGCCATCACGGGCGTCGTCTCCGGCGTGCTGCAGCCTTACTTCATGAACCCGTCTGAATGGAACCTGAAGGGCTACACCGGCTTCGTATGGGGCGGCACCTGCTTCCTGATGACTGTCTGGGCTTACTTCCGTCTTCCCGAGTCGAAGGGGCGCACTTACGAGGAGCTTGACGTGCTCTTTGCCAGAGGCGTTTCTGCTCGCAAGTTTGCCACGTACAAGATTGACGCGTTCAACGACGAAACCTTGGCATAGTGTCTTTATTTCTTTCTTCTTGTGCTGTTTTCTCAAATGTTGGAGGGTAATGGATGGCGCTGGTGGTCATTGCGGGAGAGGGAGTTGTGCTGAAGACGGAGCAGAGATCATGGCAATGTTCATGATGCTGACGGGTTCGATGCAATGCCGAGTCATTCAACTCCGACATGCATGGATCTTCAGTGTCTGGTGATGATCTGGTCTTACCTGTCGGCAATCAAGGTGCGACAGAGTTGTCGTCTATGATCGGGATGACTGTGGGGTTTCTGATACTGCAACTTGTTTAATCCCAGTTGTTCGGGGTCTATAAATATCCCCGTCCTCACAATGCTATTCAGTTCCCTCTATCCAGCGTTCAATTCGCATGCGAAGGTGCGATTCAACTACTTACAAGTACTTGGAGTTTCAACTGACTTTCAGGCTTATCCATGTGATACAAGAAGCAACAATCGAAGCTATTTAACATGGCAGAATAGTCAAGCATGGAGGCGCGAAATAACTGACTCCTATTGTCTTGTTGTTTCATCTATAGACTATCCTCCTTAGTTCTCACCAATTGCATTGAGTCCTCGGGACCGCCACTTGGCCGTAAGCCAACTGATGATAGTCTAGGTAAAGCCCGTGTAATCCATGCTCGTAAGCGACGTGTCCGATCATGCCGAGTTGTTAACCCTGTTTCACACACCGCAATATAGTATCGAGATCGTGAGAGACGCGTCCTTTGTTGTCGTTGTCGGATAGTCAACTCGGCAAATATCGATCAGATACGAGTACGATGCCAAAACACTGATCGGCCAAGCAGCAGAACGGCTTCATCCGGACTACAGCCCTATGGTCGGACTACTCGTTCCACCCGCTTCCATCTCCATCGTATTAGCGGCCGATTCTGGAGTACTAACCTTGTCTTAGGGACAGCGGGGGAGCTTTTGATGCTAATTTTACATAATTGCCTCTCACAATCGACTCTGTGAAGTTGAAGAATAGGCGAAGGGGGAGAAGAAATAAGCCCATGTCTCCTTGTTTCTAAGTGGACGGGAACACGGCAAGTTAATGGAGTTATAGGCATATTTCGCTGGACTAGCAGCACGCTAGCTGAGCCAAGTCCGAGGAACCCCCCCTTCTCATGTTTGCTCGGCTTTGGTTGTTGTTCGTGCCCCGTGCCTAAATACCATGTCTTGCCAATAGGGAATTAATAAACATTGCGTGCTTTCCGTGATGCTTCTCTGAAACAGGTCCTTTTTTCTAATCACCTTCCGGCCCGTCCTATTTCCCGCCCAATGCATAGCCGTCCTTCTCCGTCCGTGTCCCGGAAGTCGAGTCCTCTTCGGATATCAGAGCTGGGGAACGCCATCATGGACGGCTACATGATATCCGTTGCCGATCGGGATGGCGCTCACCCGTCGACGCCTCCGCGCCAGGGGGCAAGAGACCACCGAGAGTCGAAGCGGATGCGGGTGACGCGGGCCTGCGATCGGTGCAAGAAGTGAGTCGAAGCGGCCACTCAAACCCCCCTATCCATGGCTCTGGGACGAACGCCTGGCAGAACGTCAGCGTCTTTCTTTTCTGACTTTGGTCCCCTTCAGGAGAAAGATTCGCTGCACCGGGTTGCAGCCATGCCGGCTGTGCATCGAGGCCAATGCAAGCTGCACATATGATGCCGCCTACACTCGCGGCAGACACGCCGCCATGGCCTCGCGCAGGAACACCCGCGCCTCGCCGCCGCATCAGCAGCCGCAGCCGCAGCCGCAGCCGCCGCCACAGCACCATGAGCGGCAGCCCTCGTCGCAGTCGGAGCCGGTGACGCGATGGCATCCCGCCAACCGCCCGAGCTCCTCCGCGACGTCCGGCCGGCATCCGCTGCCCTCCGGCGAGCCCCCGGGCTCGTCCTACTCTGCCCTCGGCGGGGACCCCACCCAGCCCGGCACCGAGCCGCTGTCACGGGCCTCCCCGGAGCCTGTGCAGACGGATCTCGAGGGCCACTACGTCGGGCCCTCGTCCGGCGTCTCGTTCCTGCTGCGGATTCAGAAGCGGCTAGACCAGTTCGTGTCCTTTCCGCAGGGGTCGTCCATCTTCACCTTTGGCGACGCGCCGCTGCCCTACCTGGACTCTCTGCAGACGGAGGCGCCGTACTTTGACCCGACGCTGTACATGATGCTGTCGCGGAGTGACACCACGCGGCTCGTGCAGAGGTACTTTGACTTTGCCGTCCCCGTGGACAGGTTCCTCCACCAGCAGACGATCGAGGCGTGGCTGGACGAGTTCTACGAGACCAAGGGCAAGATGCACAATCGTGAGGACGCGTCGACCCGGACGGCCGTCTTGTTCATGGTGTTTGCTCTTGCGCAGGCGCACATGAGCGCGAGGCCAACGTCTGACGATGCCGATGTGAGGTATGCTTCCCTCTATTCTCATTTTCAATGTCCATCTCGTCCATACGACTCATATCCCTGACCTGATTTCCAGTGTTCGGTATTTCCTTGCAGCACACCAATTGCTGGCCAGAGAAAAGGGAGCCATCCGCCTCGCGAGCATCCAAGCCCGTCTGCTGCAATGTCTCTGGCTGCTGTCCGAGTCGCGCATCAATCACTGCTGGAACCTCTTCGGCACCGCCGCCCGCCTTGCCTATGCCATTGGCCTACACCGAAAGCGCCATGCGGATCGCATCGACCGTATCGAGGTCGAGTGCCGGAGAAGGACCTTTTGGAGCGCCTATGCATTGGACAACTACCTGAGCATGGCGCTGGGAAGGCCGCGGACCTTTCATGATGACGATATTGACCAAGAGCTGCCGTCTTGTGTAGACGACCACCAGATTCATGGTGACCACATCAGCGGAGGCAGCACCCATGGTCAGTCAGTGATGCTAGGACCAGTTGCATATGCCAAGTAAGAAGCCGCTCCAACCTATCGCCCATGGGTTCCGTGGAAGCTGACCAGCATCAGGATGTCTCGCATACTGAGCATGATTCTCCGCAACGTCTACTCCATCCACCCAACCTCGCGCAACGACAAGCACGCCTTTGCCACCATCCACACAAAGGAGCTCGTCGAGTGGCGCGCCGACGTCGCCCACTTCCTCGACCCCGTGACCAACATGCCCCTGATCCCCATCTTCCAGCGGCAGAAGAACGTGCTGAACCTGGCGTACTGGCATACCATGATTCTCACCCACAGGCCGTTTCTGCTTCGCAACTTTGCGCAGCTGCAGAATGGCAGCCGGCCGCGTCGCGACGATCGCGAGTTTGAGTCGCGGATAGAGCAGAGCGTTCGTGAATGTCTGCAGGCGGCTACGAACATTACCAAGACGGTTGATGACATGTACTCAGGAGGGCAGCTTTTTCGAGCATACTGGGTAAGCCGGAACGTCCTTTCATCAGAGAATATCGCAGTAGACTGACACAATGCTTTACAGTTTACCTCGTATTTCGCCTTTTCCGCCGCAGTCATTCTTTACGTCTACACCATTCAGAAAAGCAACGAGCCTGAAGAAACGTACTCTGGCTACTTCGCAGCCGCCACCCGATGTCAAGACCAGCTGTCCAATCTTGCCGAAGACGGCTCCCTGGTGTGGCGATACTGTCTGGTCCTGGAAGAGCTTCGCCTCGAAGCGCTGAGACAGACGAAGCAGGGTCAGATCAACATTGCGCGATCGCCGGGGCAGAGACAGGCTGCTGCTGCAATGGTCCATGCGGCCAATGGCGGTGACTCGTTCGGGACGACTGTTGATGGGGCAATGGGTGTTGGGGAGCTGGGGGCGGGTATGACGGACATGGGCGGCATTGGCGATATATACGTGACGCCGACGGATTCGCTGGCTGAGATGACGGGCTGGGCTCAGTTTGATGCGATGGCCAGCGTTTCCATGGATGGGTTTCAGCTGAACATCTAATGCAGGTCATGATTGTTGGAGTCAAACCGGGCATCTATCATGTAATGCTTTATGAATAATGTTTTATACTCCGTACACGATCCAATAATACCACATCCACACTCCTCATCACGCGTATCAAGCAACTCCCTAACTTCCCAAGTTCCTCACTCATCCCTCGACTGAACAGCCTCTTTAATCCAAGCAATCCTCCCATCCCCCGCAATCTCCGCAAACATAAACGTCTCAGCGGACATTTTCTTCCCATCTTGCAACACGGTGGTCGAGACATGTCGCTCGGCGAGTAGATTCCCATCCCGCAGAAACTCCACCGTCGTGAGATCGACAGAGAGCTTCATCTCGCGCAGACGCCGAATGTGCTCGACGAAGCCGGCGAAGTCGTACTTTTCGGCGGCGTTGGCGGTGAAGTGGAACGTGGGTGATAAGATTCTGGATAGGTCTGTTTCGGTGTCTTGGGGGGAGCCGGAGAAGAGGCTGCGGAGGGTGGCTTGGTATGTTTGGGGGGAGTCGGCGAAGGTGGCTCGTTCAGGCATCTTGAGGGTATTGGATGTTTTTTTTTCTCTGGCTTGATATGAGATATTTGTGAGTTGATATTTACTTCAAGACATTTGAGCGGATGGGTCGGTCTGAAGTGGAAGTTGCCATGGCCTTTTTATGGTTGGTGTAAATATCGTTGCCTGATGATTAGCTTCGACTTCAACAGAATGTCGATGATTGTGCCTAACGGCGCAATCGCAAAATAGTGCTGCCTAGACTTAAGAAATACTTTTTATGAGACTGAAACTCATACAAGAGAAAGCCGATTATAAGGAGTATCTTCGAGAGGACGATGGAGAAGGGTGCGGCTAGAGCCAGCCAGAGTCGAACCTGTAGATAGGCGCAAATCAGGCATCCACGGAAGACCCCAAAGTCCCGTCATTCTGCATTTTTTTTTCAAGACATCAAGAGAACAAGATGACGTTCGGCTCGCTGAAGCACTCATCCCACTCAGTCAGCCCAAACGCCCAAGCCCTCCTCAGCATCGCCAACGCCTTCAACGATCCCGCGCCGGAATACGGATCGTTGATCCCCATATTCAGATGCTCCTCCACAAGCACTCTCTCTTCCACGGTCCCGCTCGACGCAGCCACGCCGGCTACAACAACCGGCCAGTATATGCTGTGTATGCGGACAGACGACCCGACTGCCGTTCTTAGTGCCTCAAAGAGTTGAGCTCGGTATGTCTGTCTCAGGTCTTGGCATGACCTTTTTACGTGGAATTTCGATGTGCAAGGGAGTGAGAGGATGGCGTACAAGGCCACTGCCGCTTGATATATGTTGGATAGTAATAGAAGCCCCTCGGAATTCTCAAAGCCGCAGGATTCGATCCATTCCAGGGGGGAGAATTCGTGTATATGCTTCAAGATGTCGCATACGTTTACCTGAATCGACGGTAAGGAGTATATAACTGATGTCGTCGGCAGTTGCAGACGCAGACGGTTGATGTAGAGTATGTCGAGGAATAAATCTGGCGGACAGAGGAATGGCGGGTATATGCTCACTCTATACAGGCTGTAAACTTCCTTTGGGTCCAGACATGTGACTTCAACAATCTGATTCTGCAGCGAGCTTGTTGTGTTTGCGACGATGCATGAGCTGGCTAAAGGTTAGCCATGAAGGACACACTGGGCTAAAGCAAAAGGGGAGCTTACACCAAAAAGCTGAGCATGATGTATGTAGAATTACCCGGATCTTGGACGAACGTGCCCAGACCCCCCTGTTCCTGCAAAATGGCCATGAAGCCACTCACATGAGCCCGCCAATGAGGTGAGTTGAGTAAGAAAAGCTGCACGTCATACAATCAGAACACGTTTCTCTATTGAGACAGAGAGTCCAAGGCGGCTTTTACCTCGGAGCTAGCTATCAGATGAATGCTGCGGAATATATTGGTCAAGTACACCTTTGGGTCTTGCCGGATCTCATCGTTCAGGGCCGCCATGGCAAGGCCGACATGCCGAAAGAAGGACGTCCACAAGTCACTCGCAGGGCCGACAACGCGTGGGTTGATGCTCAGGCGATGGATCTGGGCAACGGCTAGAATGCGGAAGCCTATGCAGATGGAGATGAGGGCGTGGCGGTTGGAAGGGATGAGCCGAGCGACTCGGTCCTTGTCGAAGGGTTTTGAATAGGCATTGGGTATGATTTGGTTGGAGCTGATGACGGGGAATATGCGATGATTGTCTATACCGGACGGTCAGTTTACTCGATTGGGCGTGAAATCTTGCACCGCACTGGATAGGTCTGGACACACAGTACTCTACGGCCTCCATGAGTTCAAACTCGTCTGGTTGCAGACTGGCGGGAATGCAACTGACTGTTTGTTTCTCAGTGAGTAACCCGCTTCGTCCTTTCTGAGGTACGAGAGCAAGATTTGTGGCAGGAGTTTGAGGCGTATTGGGGCCCGGTTGGGTGGGATACAGCTGGTCGCTGCTGATGGCGTCCTCTCCTTCATCGCCGTCGCCCTCTTCACTATCACTGTCATCATCGTCCTCTTCCTCATTGTCGTCTCCCAAGCTAGTCAGATCCAGATCGGTGCCATCATCTGTGGCCTTGCCATTGTCAATGAATAGAGCAGTGTCTGGCCTCGTCTTGGTCGAGTCCTTCTCTGAAACAGGCAATACCAACTGTGAGCGTCCTCGACAGTGACGCTTCCTGAGAGCAGCAGGAATCGGTGTCGCAGCTGAAGTTGTCCTGGCCCTCCGGATTCTCGTAACGGTGATATTCCCCGGCGTCACCCAAGTCAGCGGCCGGCGATCTTCGTATCCGGGACATACGATGCCGGCAGAGCGGCAGCATTGGCAGACGGGGCGTCGGCCGTCACAGGCCTGGCAGCGGCGGAGACACTCCCAGCACTCTTGCTGCTGCTGCTTACCGGCATCTGTTTTTGGCGGCATCGTGGCCGCAGGTGGTGATGGTGGTGGAGATGGGACCAATCTTTAATATGTGCTTCCTGCTTACTCTCTCCTTTTTCTTGATAATCCGGGCTTTTCCCCTCTTCTAAGCCCCCTCACCTTGTCCGACTCTGATGACCTACATATGTACACCTCGTACCCTGTTTGGCACAACAAGTGCTTGATACCGGTTGTGGCTCAGCTCAGCTTCTTCCGCCGGCTGGTCGATCCCGCCCGGTAGGTAGTTTGAGTGACGGTAGCCAGCCGTTGGTTGCGTGGTCGCCCGTCGGCAGCTTACATGATGCACGTGTTCGGTCTGAAGGGAACGAGGTGAAGTGACCCAGAACCAGCATTACGCAGATAGACCTTGGGATTGAGGTTCGGGCGTGACTCGGATTAGCTTGCTGGGGTCCAGCTCAAGGAGCCGACATCCCACATAAGCTCGACAAACGGCGGGAATGGCGTCTGGGCGTGTGTCTGGCCCAAGACCAGAACGGGTAAGACAGGATAAGAGGCCAGTCGTTCACTCCGCCCTGATAGTATCGCCAAGCCGTGCCTCCAGATGTAGGTAATTATACGGGGAGTGATAGAGGATCCAAACGCAGGCTGCGAATGACATTCTGGGTGACGAGAGAGAGGTGACACCAAGCTGGGTGACTGTCACGACTCTACGGGACATCTCGTAAGCACAGCCATTCGCCGATTTCCTAATCAGGCAAATCAGGCTCCGAGCAAGGAGCAGACATCCAGCGTGTAAGTCTCCTTTGGACAGTGGCTTACCGTATCTCTGCTCCGTTCACTCTATGTATGCCCGCCTATTTGTTCAGCCGATTTCTGACGGAGTGTAAAAGTACATGGTTCCTGGACCTTTGCGGACACGGGAAGCTGCGCATTCACCGTCAGCTACCAAGCAAGCGTCTAACTAGTTCAACACTAGAATAGTTCCTTAGAATAGAGAGTTGTCGCCTTTAACCAGCAGTTTGCCTCGAACCAAAGAGACTGTCAAAGTTCGATACTCAATTCTCTGGATTCTTGTGAAGACAACGCCATGCGGCACATGATCTTTCCGATGCCATGGCCAACTTAAGCAAAGAGAACTCTCACAAGCCTTCACCTCCTTCTCTCATTTCATCTGTCCTACCATCAAGACATGTGAAAAGCGATCACCCTCTATAGCCATCGATGACTCACACGCCGCATACCTATTGCAACCCGCCAGCCATTCTTTGGCCAACTCCGCATGCGCGTCGCGATAGGTGGTGCGGGTATGTCTACCGAGCCGCTGAATCCTGCAAATTCTGGCCATTATAGCTCAAGATCTGAGCCTCAATGGGATGCAATCACTTCATTATCGGCCTATCATCCAGCGTGTGTCTCGTCAGCCGCTTTTGGGACTATTCCGTTCAAGGGACTGGCCGAAGCCGACTCGTCATCGGGTTCGGGTTCGGCTTCGGAGCCATTTTACTTAACCTTACTTACATGCTCGCTCCGTGGTCGGCTTTGTTTGCTTCTTGAACAAAATAAATCCCTTGTGACTCCTTCCTTTTACCGTTTACCGAGCATTTCCTTCCTTGCTCCTAGGTAGTTACTCACTTACATCTCAACTTGTCTGTCTATTACAATACCTACCTACACATCTTTTAGTTGTTATCAAGCTGCATCGCTACAGGTATCAATCATGGCAAACTGGTGTATAACATGTGGATTTACGATTTCTACAGCTTTCTGTAAGTCCAGCTACACATAACTACGCCTTCTCGGCATCCCTAACCACTGTTTCCTGCTCCAGGCCTGGCGTTTGCGTCAACTGAGCCTGCGACTGGTTCGGCGTCTCCTGCTCCAGCATGTAAACATCGTCGTCGAGCTTATGGTGCCGGATCCAAAAGACGATAGTCTGGGCGAAGAGGGCAATGGCTGGACCAGCCCAAACCCACTACACGACACCAACGCGGTTAGCAAGCTGTTTTCTCGTCTCAGTATCTCGATATTCCGCTTCGGTCAACTTACAATCAGATGCGGATCAACAATGGCCGGAATGAGAATCTCGCCGAGAGCACTCGACAAGGCGGTAGTGAACAAGAACAGGGACATGACGACGGACTTGAGGTGAGGCGGAGAGCGCGCATATGCCATCTCGTACGCCGTCACGTTGCAGAAGAGCTCGGAAATGGCACCGAGCGCGACGTTGGGGATCTGCCACCAGATGTTGATGGGCGACACGTCGCCACAGGTGCTGGCCTGGTAGCCGCAGGGACTCGTCTCATACACCCGCCACTGCACGATGGCACCGATGGCTCCCGAGATGGCGGCAAGCATGAAGCCGAACGTCATGCGGCGGATGGGACCGAACTTGATGCCGTACCTGGCCAGCAGCGGATACAGGCCATAGGAGAGGATGGGGGCTACGGCGATGATGGTGAGGGGGTTGAAGTTGCCCAGCAAATCGGTCGGTGCGCCGTTGTTGGTCATGGACGCGCCCTGGTTCGACTGCACCGCTCCCACGCCTCCGTCGTTGATGTTGTAGATGGGGAAGTACAGGAAGATGACGCAGGCCTCAAAGGTCCGCTGCACATCGAGCACGGCTCGGTCAGTCCATGTCACATGGATTCCGCGCTCTGCCAGCTTGGACGCAGTGGCAACAGCCCAAAAGTCCTTCTTCCAGACCTGGAACTTGTTATACTTGAGACCGGCCCAGACAATCTTGAAGAAGTTGGTCAGCTCAGATCCGTCGGGCTTCTTGATGACAAGCCTCCTGTACACCGCCAGCAAAAGGAAGGGCAGCAGGAAGTACACGATGCCCGGCAAGAGGAAAGACAACCAGAAGCCGACATATTTCTCAGTGTACGTGGTCGCAATGGCGAAGAAGGCGCCGACGTTGACCATGGCATAGAAGATGAGCATCACGCGCTGGATGGTGCGCTCGGGGTCGATGATGACCTTCTCGCCCGTCTTGAGCGTCTTGATGGCCGGTCGCTGGTTGGTGTACTGGTCGATGACGGTCGGCGCCACGTTGGGCTTGAAGATGCCCGCGCCAATGGCCAGGGTGAAGAAGGAGACGATGAAGGGCGCGAGGCCCTTGCCGGCCTTGAGGAGAGAGGGAGCGGCGCCGCCAATCATAATGACGTGGGCAACGGCGCCGATTATGACACCGAGGAGGATTGTCTTGCTGAGAAGCGGAAACGGTTGGTTAGCTATCCAGTTCCTTTCCAACCTCTTGGGTATTACCAACTCACAATCTTCCGAGACGCGTGTCGGCGATGTACGCTCCGAGAATGGGAAAGACATAGGCCAAGAACGTGAACAGCGTGCTGAACGCAGACGCGAACTGAAGGCCCTGGTCCCTGAGCAACAAGAGTTAGATCTGAGTTTTCGAAGAATCCCTTCACAAAAGCGAAGTCATCATGGACAATGAGCATTCCATCCATCACTTACAATGCGCCAGCATGGCCGTTGGGGTTGCTCTTCGGGACAGCTCCGCTGCCGTTGCCGCCCTTGGGAAGAGGAAACTGCATGAAGTCGTTGAACACCTGACTGGCGCCATAGTAACTCGCACGCTCAGCAAGCTCGGCCACGCAGAGCACCCAGGAGATGGGGGGGATGGAGCCGGCGACCTTGCGGAGCGACGCCGCTTCCTCCTCCGTCGGCTCTCGGCCGTCGGGGCCTTCGAGGGGAGCCTTTTCGATGTCGTCGTGAAGCCTGTCGAGCGTCACGCCGAGCTCCTCGCTTTCGATCGGGGCCACGCCGGAGAGAATCTCGGCGGTGCCACGCTCGTGCGTGGGACCGTCGGCAACGTGGTCTGCGTCTGTGGTTGTGGTTTTGTCTGGTAAGCAGGGCTGATACTATATCAAGATCAGGATCTCGAGGCAGGACACACTCATCGAGGGCAGATTATCCAAGCGACTCTTTGGGAATCACCACGGTACTATGCAGCTGAAGAAAGACGTGAGGTCCAAGGCGTCTGTCCTCGCACAGCAGCACTACCTTCGAGCTCTACTCCCACGGCAGCCTCAGCCATACTTATGTATTACAGAAACAAACCAGCACCACCACAACATCAGCTGTGCACCCCAGTCTCGCCTGCAATAAGGCATCCTCCCGGGGTGGAACACAACACACATGTAGCCCAAGGAACAATTCCCTATCACGTCTTTTCCTTGAACGAACGAGAACCGAGTCGGCAAGACCAGTTGGCTGGCGAGTCAGGGGATTAAGCCCGAGGCTAGGGCTATACGTGAGACAAAAGTTCCCAAATAGTCTATTGCTACGAATTCCGTCTCTATGCGATGGGGGGAGTACATGCTTCGGAGAGAAGATGACCGTTGCATTTCCCTGCTTGGACAATGGAGGAGCAGTATCTGCCGCCTTTGCTCCATTCTCCCCCCCTTCTCTCCTTCGCCCGGTTTCCTCTCTACGGGTTGGATCTTCCCGTCTATGCATCGCCGGCCTTACAACTTTAAACTCAACATTAAACATGGGATATGCAGAAACCCCCCGAGGGCACCACAGCAACTGCAACGCCGCATCCCAGCTCATTCATGGACAGTTGAAGAAGGGGGAGGAAGAAGAACGACCACCTCGAACCAACCATCAGCACCATCAGCATACATACGAAGCATGCATATCATTTCCATCTTATCTTCCGCCACGGAAGAACGAACGCTATACGAAGGCACTTTGGACGTCGAATAACCCCCCTTGGGCATCCGGGCCAATGATAGGACGGCAATTTCCATCCATGGGCTCTGCTCCCAACGGCAATTCCTCCCAAATGAAGCCCATCAAGCACACCACGCGATCATCGTCTCGACCATATCACCGAGTAGCATACATACAAGACGCAATCAACCGGCAATACGGCACCTGGGCAACGTTTGGCGCAATCCAGGAGCATGGTGGCGACAGGCGCTGATTTGTCGGCTTTGACGCAAGGCAGCGGCACCCCAGCTTTTGTGCCCTTGCTCGTTCGTACCGATTTGGCATCTTGAAAGGGTCGTTGATATGGAGGGGAGGCGAGTGGGCTCGGTTGCGTGATAGCATCGTCGAGTGAGGTGCGAGGCCCGTTTTGGAGGCTGATAACAACGGCGGAAGAGCGGCCATATGCGGGCATAACAGCCGTCCTTATCTCCTGCTCCTACAGACATGCCTAGTCCTACTGTGCGTCTGCGAGTGTTGGCTAAGGTTGCTAGCATTCGGTCTTCTTCGAGGACGCTGCCTCTTGATTCTTTTGACTGGCGGCATCACAATCGCCGTCACTGCGACTTATTTGGTCCGTATCCATCAACAAACAGATGCAGTAACCAAGGTTCATGGCTTCCACAGCGATAATGACTCGCAAAGAGATCTTATCCTGCATCTCACACGAAGCACGGACTAAACCCCCGCAAAAATCGACGCTTACACGTACGTAGTACTCCAAATACGACTGATAGCAGCAGTGTTGCTTGCATGGCTCTCCCTCCACCGATGTCTTTGCCAAACTTTTCCTCATTGGGTGCCATGTCTTTCTGGAAGATATTAGGCTGGCTTTCGACAATCACTCAAAGGAACGTGGTTGCGTGGCTAACGTGAGCTGTGGGGGTTCTCGCTCGCATGGCTCAAAATGGCGCAGATGAGATGACCGGGGTTACTTGGATACTACTAGCACTCAATCAACGTCTGCACATATTTGCCGGTACCACCAGCAGTTCTTCCAGAAACTGCGTTATTCTATGACTGTGAAAAGAGAAGCAATTTCGCTCTGAATCGACGCCGCGGACGGTGGATGAGATGCAAGGAAGACGCGCAGCTTACGCACACGGTGGAATAGGCTATTTTGTCCATCTACCAAGATAGTGCCCGGCTGATGCGGTAATACACAGGCTGGGTGAAATCTGCACTTCATTTGCAGCTATTCGTGTCTTTCTGCTATCGACTCGCTTGGCTTCCTCTTTCTGACTTCCTTTTCTTTGTTCATACAATAAAGAGGAAGACATTCTTCCCAAAGACCAATGGACGCCAAATGGGCAACCCTCCCCAAACCAAAGCTGAATGCCGAGCCCGAGTATGAGATTCCTGGCCCAAGATTGTCGATTCCACGAAGGCCGCGCGAGGAAAAGAGATGATTCGATCTTTTAGACTCTGCCGTCCTGAAAGACAAAATCACAGTTCAAACTGAACGTCCTTTTGCAGCGTTGTTAGCCTTGTGACATCTGCAAGTTGACAACATTCATCCTATATTTCGTTACAGCCCTCGGATCACGTCTAAGACACCACAGGGCTCGGCTTGACGCAGTCTTCGAGCGATCATTCTACAGCCTGTCTCCCGGATAGTCGCTATCATTGTCCATTTGTGCGTGCTTCGCTTTAATTCCGCCGTTACTCGCAAGAGTCCGAAGCAACACAACGCCGCGCTTCTGATAGCTTCTGTTGGTACCCTCGGGGCGACTCAACAACAAGCAAGCCTCCAAGAAAGAAAGAGCAGCGTGTAAATCAACCCGATCCACATCGTGTCAACGCAGCGAAGAGACGAAGAGTGGGAGTGGCGTGCGCTTCGCGATCTGGTTCAGTATCCGGACATGATTTATCCTCTCACAGCCTCGCATATTCCCCCCTTTGCTACTGCTCATCGAACGCAGGGCTCTTTGCTAACACCACCAAGCAGCAAACTCAGCCATGTCTCTTGATGAAGAACAAGAGATATATTCTACCATCACCATGCGACTCAGCCTCAACCCGCCCACAGCGACAAACTCGGCGCCTCCGAGGAGTGCTTTAACGTCCTGCAAAGCATCAAGTAGCAGTCCAGTTTTGGCTGTGTGTGCAAGGGAGAAGCAATTGATGATGAACTCGACCTGGTGCCATAGTCTCGCCTCTGCAGGGTTTCACCGCGAAGCAGCTGCACCTGATGGGCCATTTTTACGGCACGATGGACCGACAATATAAGTATCTTTGCCACGGGGTCAAATGGCGCTCACACTGACCACATCAGCGTTGCGTGACGGTGCGCGGACTAGCAGATTCCCTATAGTCAGACTACAGGACTATCGAAGAAGAGGTCGAAGTGTACGAGCTCAGGAGCGACATCGTATCATCTGGCAACGACCCCAATTACGACACCGAGGGGCTCTCGCGGTCGTAATCGTTCCAACTTAGAATCTCCTACCATGACGTTGCTCTTCCAGTCGATGATCGATGCGAGTGTTACGAAAGCGGGCGTGAGAATGACTGGACAGAGGATGATTAGGTGTTGTTTGACTATGGTCTTCGTAGGGATGCCGGGACCACAGGATGCGAATGCTGTCAGAGAAACCCGGGTAGTAATGATCTCGATATATCCACTCCATTGAAGGATCCAAACAAGGCGGGTTCACTGTTGGAACAGCCGAAGCTCAGGAGAGAGTCCAAACAGAAGTAATACGGGCGCCATGCTCGATATCGGCAGCACCCATGGCCCATCTTGGCAACGGGTTTTCCTCATGCCGCGTCGCAGCGCCTTGGCCTACCATCACACGTGAAGCTGATAACGGGTAGGGTTTTGGTTAACAATCGCGGAATCTCCTATCCTTTTGGCTATTGGACGCATACCCGCGGATCAATCGCCCATGCACTCTTCAGCCCAAGTGGATAGGGATATGAGTACTTATGGTAACACAATTTCCCCCAACACAATCACATCTCTATCTCTGTCCCAAATTCTCGACATCAGTCTACACCAGATTCTCGCTCGTTTCCATGCCTCTTGGGGTGTGCTTCATCGAAGCTGTAAGGAGGGGATAAGATTTGCCCTCTTAACTCAGGGATAAAGAAAATATACAACTCCTCCCTCTAGCGGCATACCTTCTCTCGCTTGTCTTACACCTTCTGCCTCTCAGTTTAAGTACTTCAAGTTATTCGATCCCCAGCCGTTCGAATGCGCTACATAAGCATTTACATTCCTGAGTCCTCTGTTCTAACTATAGAGACCTAGAGAGACACGCTTTAGGAAGCCCGGCTTGGCAAGTGGCTGTGGCATTCTATGCTTAAACTTAGAGACAAGACTTAAGCATACTGAATTCCGTTTCCGTTTCTAGAACTGAACTTCTACTATCGAAACCAAGCGCTGAGGCGGGCTGAGCTTAAGCCTAGGTACTAAGAATGGGGCGTACTGTAAGGATCACAAGCAACCAAGTCTCAGATCAAAGATTATAGTCCCGCTCGTTTGCCTTGGCCTTCATATTCTCGCCATTTTTGTCCCGCTAGATAGATGCAGTATTACAAAGATTAAATAGTATCTATATAGCACCGAAAGTTGAAACAACAGGGATCCCATTATACTCTCCGCCGCAAAATTGTTCTGTTGCCGTGCCGTCCGGGAAGTTGCATGGCGTATTGCACTGGAACTCGAGGCCGGTGTTTGGGTAGTTGTAGGCAACAAGCAGATCGCCACAAGTGCAGATGGAGTTGCCCGTATCCGTGTCGGTTCCCAGAGTGAAGTACAGCGTCGGGCCCGTCGGCAAACCCCAGCAGTAGTCGGCGCAGTCGTCGATCGAGGTCGTGACAACCTCCTGTGCAGTGTATGGATCGAGTCCGTAGTTGTCGTCGGTACTCGCGATGTAGCAGCCGAGGTACCCGTACTGGTTCGTGAAACCCGCTGCCCCGGGACCAGGGGGACCTTCGGGACCGATGGGGCCTTGGTCACCGACAGGGCCTTGTTCGCCGATAGGGCCTTGAGGACCGGGAGCACCGTCGGGACCGGGAAGACCATCGGGTCCGGCAGCGCCATCGGGACCAGCGGCACCTGCAGGCCCAGCGACACCTGCAGGACCAGCAACACCTTGAGGGCCAGGCGCACCTGGAAGCCCAGCGGCACCATCGGGACCGGGAGCACCTTGGGGACCAGCGACACCTGCAGGCCCAGCGGCGCCTTGAGGTCCAGCAGCGCCTTGAGGACCGGCAGGTCCAGCGGCACCATCAGGACCAGGATCACCATCGGGACCAGGATCACCATCGGGACCAGGAGCACCATCGGGGCCGGGAGCACCATCGGGGCCGGGAGCACCTTGAGGACCGGCAGGCCCAGCGGCACCATCAGGGCCAGGGTCACCATCGGGACCAGGGTCACCATCGGGGCCGGGAGCACCTTGAGGACCGGCAGGCCCAGCGGCACCATCAGGGCCAGGCGCACCGTTCTCTCCGTTGATACCTGGGAGGCCGGCTGGACCAGGTGGACCAGGTGGCCCAGGAAGTCCCTGGGCACCATCCCTCCCGTCTCTACCATCCCTACCATCCCTTCCATCTCTTCCATCATCGCCATCTTCCCCATCCTCGCCATTTCTCCCATCATCACCATCTTCCCCATCTTCGCCATCTTCCCCATTCCTACCGTCCCTTCCATCAGGTCCAGGCCTCCCATCAGGTCCAGGCCTTCCATCAGGTCCAGGGGCCCCTGCTGGACCTGAGGGTCCTATAGGACGTGAAACGACATCATTGTAATCGTGGCTGCCCCCGTGGCCAACGGAGCTCGAGTGTCTTGTGGAATCTAGCGCCCAGTCATTGTAGTTGGCGCTGCCCCCGTGGCTACCAGAGCTCGGGGGTGTTTTGTAACCCGTTCCACCGGTGTTATAGCTGTGACTGCCTCCGTAGCCCTCGGAGCTCGGGGGTATTGTCGAACCCCCCTTGTTGTAGTTGTAGTTGCCCCCGTAGCCAACGGAGCTTGGGGGTGTTGTAGAGCCCCGTCCCCCGTTATTATAATTGTAGCTGCCTCCGTAACCGCCGGAGCTCGGGGGCGTTGTGGATCCCGGTCCCCCGTTGTTGTAGTTATGGCTACCTCCGTAGCCAACGGAGTTCGGTGGTCTTGTGGAACCCACTCCCACGTTATTATAGTTGTAGTCGCTGCCGTGGTCAATAGGAGCCGGAGGACTCAGCTGACCTGTCCCAACGGAAGCTGGGCTGCCATAACCATATTTGGTGAAGTCTGGTCTAGCATCAAACCCATCACTTACGCTTCCTGCAGCCCGTTGAGGAGACCCAGCATCGTCAGCTAGGACCACTATAGTATTAGGCGATGGTGATGGGAAACACCGGGCATCTATAACACGCATGAGCCAAGGCTGGTGAGATCTGTTTCGTTGTAGTGATAAACTTACATGGCACATTGACAAGGTTCGCCGGTGCACAGTCATTCGGAATGCTTGATTCGTTGAACACAGCCAAGACCTTGTTCGACGCCGATAAGCAAAAGCTGGCTTTTCCGCCAGCAAAACTCGGATGCCGCCACTGAAGGACGCCCTCTTCGAGCGAGAACCCATTGTCGATGACTCCTTCGCACGGCGTCTCAAGGAGCGGCTGGTATGGCGCACCCTCGCTGGCAGCGACTAGCTCTCCGTCTGCGAATAACCGGTCGCCTTTTAGCGAGAAGAATGTCGCAAACTGACATTCTGTGCAAGTGCCCTTTGGGAACAAATAAGAGGGCGTAAGTTTCCGAGGCCTTAGTTCGTCTAGCTGAAGGAGGAACTGAGGTTGGTCGGGCCTGGGTGGGGCTCTAGTACAGTAATGGCTGTAAGCGCTATCCTTTTATGGCAGACAATATTCATGCACCGGAGAGGAGTATATCAGACTTACTCAACACCCGTTGACTCAAGACCGTCCTCCAAGCAAGGAGGTTCTAAATCAGTAACCTTCAGCAGAGGCAAAAGCGCCGATATCTTGGCGGGTAACCGCATGCTTTTCCGTGGCCGTATGAAACTCGATGTCGATCAGTGTGAAAGTATGAATTATGAACTTGAAGAAGTGAATACCCTAGAGCTGAACAAGTGCACTCTCGGGCATCAGGGACTTGAAGAAACGCGCAAGGAGGAAACGAGCGAAAATACTTCATGCAATAGTCTTCTGGAAATCGATGCCTATAAGTACTACGATAAGATGAAAGTCCCAAACTATTCAATGCAAATAAAAGTCCAATTACCACCGAAAACATGTCAAACATGTCGAAACCTCGTCGGAAACGTCAACATAAACATAGAGGCTAAAACACCCAGACAACCAGATTAAATTCCATTGCTCGACTGGATCAACCTCGCTGCAAGCAGTACGCACACTCTGCCTTGGCTAATCGACGGCGAGAAATGGATGGGTATAGCTACTCTAATAATAATAGACTGCGCCTGGTCTGTAACAAGGGAGTGTGCTCATGTGTCGTCTTTGACAGCGGGATTGTCTCGGATAAGTTCACGCTCCCGGCTTGTCTGATCGCTCGGGCCGACTATCAGGAATGCTGGACCTCCGCATCTTTTCGTCTCACGGTTCAGTTTGCATAAAGCTGAGCTCTCGGGGATAGCTCTCGGGGATAGTATTGGCAAGATTAGATGCAACGGAGCTGACCTCTAAACGTCCCTAGAAACTAACGACGTACTCGGATAAAAAGGTGCATCCTGAGTGCACCGGTATCTACAACTCTACACTCGCTCACCCATGTTCCATCGCATCTATTTCCTACCTACTATGCAACTATCTAGCAGGCGTAAGGTGTATTGGAAAAAGGAGGCTTGGATTGATTTACGTCTCGAAAGAAATACACCTCGGGCTTCGATTCCGCCCTGGCAACGGCCTCTCAAAATACTCTGCGTGCCCTGGCTGGCTGCATGGTAGGCAGGAAGTAGATGCGATAGAATAGAATTGACTAGAATTGATTCAAGTCTTGCAAGAACTACACCTTATGTCTCGATCTCGCCCGGGCAACGGCCTCTCAGCATTTTCTGCGTGCTATGGGATAATGAGACTATTGACATCATGAGTTCGTCGTCGGGTTGCTAGAGCAAAACCCCAAGTTGAAGCTAGCCATACCCATGCACGCCCTTGCATGCCAACCCGCACGGGGAGGTTTGTCCCTTGAGCCAAGCATACCAACCCAGCATAGTACAATACAGGGCATTCAGCCATAATTTACGTCTCATAGGGGCGAGAATCGAGATACTCTTTCCAGTCTACTCCATGGTAACTCGGCGTGTTGGTTTCGCCATGATATTACCCTGCCCAGATAAGCTTATAATTTCCAGAGAACTAAGGAGACCAAGAGGCTTTATAATGGTGCAAAAATAACCATAAACTAGACGAAAATATCTCGTTGTGTCAAGGGTAAGTAGGCGTGTTGATACTTGAATAATTTCCGTCTATTTATATTATCCTAACCTTTGAAGTGTGATTTAATTCCAGACCTTCAACTCTGAATCTATGGGTGCAAGTGAGAAGGACTTGTCTTGGATGAATATCCTACACGCCATAAGAGTCAACTTAGTACATAAAGCCAGCATCGCCCTAGTTTATTCTGAACTTTACTACCTGTAACAATAACCCAAACCCAACTTCCAACGCAAGATCCTCCTCTGCATTCATCTTGGCAAACTCAACTGGATCCCAGATGCATAGCACCTTGGTTGCTGTTTTCGCCGCAGCGCTCTGCCTCATCCCTGGCGTCCAGGCCTTTACCGATCCTTGCATCTACCAGAGTTACAAGTGTGGCTTTAATCTACTCAGCGAATATGGTAACTACAACCACTTCCCCCCATGATACCCTTTTCGTTCAAATGAATGCCTGTCTCATATTGTTATACGCTTCTGCTTCACCTATAGGCTACAACATTACCGAGCTCGCCGACGCTGTCGCCAGCACGCCATCTATTCCGCCCCTCCCCGATACTTTGCTTCTCCAGGTCACCTACCGTTGCATCAATATCTACGGAGGGATCGTCGGCAACGCGTACTGCTTTGCGGGCTGTATCGACATGAAAGAGACTCTCTCTAATGACCAGTGCGCCCTGTAAGCTATTGAACCTTTTTCAAGTTCTAATACCGATCGATGCCTTACTTTAATTAAGTGGACATGGTTCTTAGATAGAGACTATTTGATTGTGCAGAGTTTCGAATATTACTCAGGCTGGGATGAATTTAGAACGTCACTTCTATCTAATGTAACTTATGCTGCCTTCCTCTTCGCCTTGAACTTGTTCTGCATGTCATCAATCATGGACAGAATGTGTTTGGTTGATATTATGATCGCTCCAGCCAAGAAGAAACTCCCACGTAGACTCGCGGGCCGTCCCTTTTCTCCGACTTCCACGCGACACATTCATTTATTCCCTATTAGATTGATAGAACTACATGGTCATACCGAACACTCAATACCTATTTTTGATGAGATTAACTAAATAGTAATGAAAGTCTTTCATGTTAGGGGACACTGAGATAAGTGGTTCAGCTACTACTTTTTACCTTCCTTCTCGAGAAATCAGTATATATAAATTTAATTGTAACCGACCTGTAAGAGGGCCTCGATTATTGGGAACTATGTCGCCAGAGATAGGTATTTCTCACTCGCCGCGGCTGTGCTCCTTGAGATAGGAACTCGTCCAAGATGTGTACCTCGTTTGATACAAACAGAGCTCCTATCGTGACTGATAAAGCTCCTGTGATACAGGGAGTACGTTTGTTCCTGATACGGTGTAAGGATGACTACGGAGGTTGAGCGATTAAGAAATATAGAAACGGCCAGAAGGTTTCAGAAATCGCTACTCTCATTAAAAAAGACCCCGTAACATGGGCAAAAAAAGAGTAGTAGCACTATCACAATTCCATGGCTCTAACCCCCCACGTCCTCCTGGGTTGCCATTTCCAAGCCCTAGCCATCGCAGCAACCAGCCCAGTAACCACTCCAGCTTACATAGTACACTGGTCATTGGCGGTGTCGTCACCGATCACAGCACAGCCAACAATGCAGTAAGAGTTGCCGACAATACCGCCGGCTTGATCGACGCAGCGGAAGAGGACCTGGCCGAGTTGGGCATCTGTGATTGTCGGAGCGTCAGGGTTGATAGCATATGCTGGTCTCAAGTCGGTAAGAGCCGTGTATCCTTTATGGCAAGGTTAGCTAATAGCTTAATAGGAATAATAGAGAAGTAGAACATACCATTGGCCAACAGTGTCGAGCCACACACATACTCCTGATAAGTACAGGGCGTAGTGATTTGGGCCTTTGCTACAGACGAAAAGGCAATCAGAGTAACAAGGCCGGCAAGCTGGAGAAGAGCCATTTTTTGTTCGTCGTAGGATAAGATGTCTAGAAGATTGAATAGTGGTTGATAGATTGAGGTCTGTGAGGAAAAGTGTTCAGCTTCTAATGGAATTGTGAGATGTGGTTCAACCAGTATAAATAGTTACTACGATCTATACTGAGAAGTCAACAGTTGCTCTACCGGTGTCCTGAAGATCCTTGGCAGCGGTGTCTCCCAGGAATGAGGCAACGGTGCATAATGTCTTGTCGAGGAATGGAATGATGACGACGGGACAAGGCAACTCACACGCTCGAGACGTTGCAAGAGGCGAGTGCTCAAGATGGTTGAAAACGGCAATACACGGCATGGAATGAGACACATGACAAAAAGGTCTAGGCATACCAATCAAATAGTCAAGTCATAGGTCTGAGATTACTAGTTACTACTACTAATCGGATTCAACTATAGCTTACAGCTACCGCAAGGTAGGAATGCGCAAGGGGTAAGATCTACTTTTGGCAGCTTTGAGGAGTGATTCGCCGTCTTCGAGATCTTGCATGGCTATATGGAAGGCGCGGTAAAAGGGGAAGTTTGCAGGGCAGTGTAGATATTGAGCAGCCGATGGGAACCGGCCAACTCTAATTAGGTGGTTCCAAGACCTCTCCTCTCTCCCCAGGATATCTTTCTGGCCCCTCCGCATTGTCTTGGATGGACCCGACATTCTCTCATTTACAACCAACACAAGGCTGGCCGTTGTGCCCCGTCATTCACTCACGTGCCATGTCCTCTGCAAGCTCGGCCCATGAACATGGGGTTGGGAGATGTCTTGCATTGATCTCCGTTCACCTGGTTGCTACGGTCGCTTGCGAAGATGTCTCATCCTCGCCCTTGCATGTATGAATCCCCACGTGGTCACAGTCTAAGCGAGGCATACACCGCCTTATCAGAGGGTACTATTCTTGACGAAAGCGACTGAGGTGCTCACGGGAGTGCTGGCTAGCATACCATAGGATCTATCTCTCATGCACGCATCACGTCTCGACTCCTCTAGGCGGAAAGGGATGTGCGCGATAGCCGAGACTCGGGCGTTGCCGCCGTAGCGTCATTCCCCTATTCCAAGGGATGAAGTCGGGAGAATGTTGAGCGGTTGAAGAGACTCTTTAGCGTCGAAAGGAGCTTCAGACCCGGCGATCTCCCGAATCGAATATCAGCGATTTCCCGTACCGAATACCAGCGATCGTTATGAGGGGTCAGCTGGCTCAGTGTTTGAGTGCTTCTGGACTCTTCACCGACTTTCTTCAACCTACTCTCCTAGGGAGTTATTGTCAGCTGGAACTACCCGTCACCATACGTCTAGGGCGTCCATAAGGATGACACAGATTGGAGGCTGATCGTCAGACGCCACCCTACGTGGACAAGCGGTGGATCGTCGATCGCTATCCTGCGGGTATGTTTAGTGTAAATATCAATTTTATACATCACTGAAATTGAAATCGACATTAGCGAGAAATACAATGTACCTTGATTAACAGATATGAGAGTGAATGACGTCCAGACGACTGGAAACTCTACTACAGGGTAAGATAATTTCACGATGTATTTGGGCTCAAGAACATCTACTTTGAGCAGGGCGCTATAAGGTGCTTCTACTACTCGGGGTTTGATAACGACGAGGGAACGCTACGAGGCGTGATTATACGTGATGTAGAAGCCTTTCAATTCCCGTTCCTCAGGAGCTTGCGAGTCCAAGCCACGAACCCTTCGTGGCCGGATCAAAGCTGGCGAGCTGCTGGAGGCCTTCACTAACAGCGAACAGAATGAATATGGGCGGGACTTTGCGCCGCAACGACAGAGCGCTATACATAGCTGAGGTAGTTCAAGGTGGTCCAAGGTTACATACAGACAAGCAGTGCCTTGCTTTACCGCAGCTTCTGAAAACCGGTGGCATAGCATGTTACCACAATAATCCTAGAGATCATGGCAGCTGGCCCTGTGGAAGAGCGGACGGTCACTGCGTGCAGCAAAGACATAGAGCTTGAGTGGATGAATCTTTACCCATGCCATCCTACAGCAGACGAGCCGCCTCCCACTATATACATAAACTGGCATATCCGACCGCCGATAGTAGATCATTTACCTGCGCTGTTATGGTCAATAACAACGAGAATCACATCATGGCACAGAGCATCCTTATCATCAACGGGCCAAACCTCAATCTGCTCGGAACGAGAGAGCCTCAGATATACGGCTCAACAACGCTCAACGACGTCGTAACGCAAGCCCAAGCCCAAGAGGCAGAGCTATCCATACGGATCGAAGCCTTCCAGTCCAATCACGAAGGAGCCATTGTAGACAAGATCCAAGCCGCTCGCGGAGCCAAGGACGGAATCATCATCAACCCCGGAGCCTTTACCCATACTAGCGTTGCCATTCGAGATGCTCTTCTTGGCGTGGGCATTCCGTTTGTCGAGGTCCACGTATCGAATGTACATGCACGGGAGCAATGGAGGCGACACAGCTATTTGAGCGACAAGGCGGAGGCGGTCATTTGTGGGTTGGGCGTGTTTGGGTATACAGCTGCAATTGAGTTTGCCGCGAAGCATATGAAGGTCAAGACAGCATCACCTAGACTGTAAAGAAGGGGAGTGGCTGGCCAGCATCAGAACAGTCTTCTATGTCTTTATTACCTCTACTTCAGCTACATTTTCAATGGTCAAGAACGGTTCAGCTTTCTGCTACTGTTGCGATATGGTTCAGTCTTACTAGATGTTTGAAATTCTGGCCTGAATAGGGTATATCAAGACTGGCCTCCTACTCTGTATACTAAGAAAAAAAGCGCCGGATAGCAAAGTTGGGGTGCCAGTTAGCCTCTCCCTAAAGTAGGTCACACGGATGCTCTAGCAGTTGAGAGAATTGCTAGATCCAGACTCAGGTTAAATCGCCTCCCGCCTTAACCGTCTGGATATTTCTTTACCCAGGCGTGGGTGGCGACTCCACAACCCGAGAGAACGTTCTCCACGATCTTTGTTCCGCTTCTGCCTCTTTTACCCCAGATTCCGTCAACATCCCGGTCGAAGTCTGCATGGCCTAGCGACCCCAGTAATTACCGAACTCTTCCCCGTGGGGAAGTCCCCAAAGCCAAACCCATGGCTCAGCGTATCGGCTTATAAGTCGGCCAATGGCCTTTGACAACAACTCGCTTTCGATTCTCGAGCTTCTGAGTCAAGAGGCAACTCTCTCGCAGAGCTCAAAACATCCGGCATCATCACATCATCATGACTATTCTTGCCTTGAAAGAAGACCGGCCTACGCCCAAGGCCGTCTACAACTGGAGAGTCTATGTCTGTGCTGCCACGGCATCCTTTGCAGCATGCATGATAGGATACGACTCTGCCTTCATCGGCACTACTCTCGCTCTCCCCTCCTTTGAGGCCGAGTTCAACTTTGCGCAATACACCACGTCACACCTTACCCTGATCCAGCAAAACATTGTATCCGTCTATCAAGCCGGAGCCTTCTTTGGCAGCTTGGCGGCCTATGTCTCCAGTTACTTCCTCGGACGTAGGAAGTCCCTCATCGCGTTTGCTGCCTGCTTCATGGTTGGGGCTGGCATAATGCTTGGCGCCGATGGCAGTCGTGGCCTCGGCCTGATTATCGGCGGTCGAGTTCTCGCTGGCTTCGGGGTCGGCGGATGCTCCAACATGACTCCCATCTACATCTCCGAGCTTGCTCCGCCGGCTGTGCGTGGACGCCTTGTCGGTCTGTACGAGCTCGGGTGGCAGATTGGCGGACTGGTCGGATTCTGGATCACATACGGCGTGAACACGACAATGGCACCCAGCAGGACGCAGTGGCTCATCCCTTTCGCCGTCCAGCTGATTCCCGGAGGGATGCTGCTGATCGGTGCCGTCTTCATACCAGAGTCACCGCGCTGGCTTTTCTTGAAGGGCAAGCGAGAAGAGGCTTTGAAGGTCCTCTGCTGGATGAGACAACTTGATCGGGGCGACAAGTACATCGTGGAGGAGGTGAGCTTCATTGATGAGGATCTGGAGCGGTACCGCCGAGAAGTCGGGGCTGGTTTCTGGAAGCCGTTCCTGTCTCTGAAGGAGCGTAGGGTCCAGTGGAGGTTCTTGCTCGGAGCTCTTCTCTTTGTTTTCCAAAATGGTAAGCCATCTCTACTTTTTCTGTATCTGATAAAACCACTCACTGATGCTGTTCAGGCTCCGGCATCAACGCAATCAACTACTACAGCCCAACCGTCTTCCGCAGCATCGGCGTCCAAGGAACAAACACAAGCTTCCTCACAACAGGCATCTTTGGCGTGGTCAAAACAGCCTTGACCATTGTCTGGCTGCTCGTGCTCATCGATCACATGGGTCGCCGCAAGCTTCTGATGATTGGTGCCGTTGGAGGCTCCCTCTGCATGTGGTTCATCGGAGCATACATCAAGATCTCCGATCCCGCCTCCAACCAGAGCAACACCAAGCTGTCATCTGGCGGCATCGCAGCCATCTTCTTCTTCTACCTGTGGACGGCATTCTACACGCCGTCATGGAACGGAACGCCCTGGGTCATCAATTCGGAGATGTTTGACCAGAACACACGGTCGCTCGGTCAAGCCAATGCGGCGGCGAACAACTGGCTTTGGAACTTTATCGTTGCGCGATTCACGCAGCAGATGTTTGAGGCGTGGGGGTATGGCGTGTATTTCTTTTTCGCGTCGCTGATGATACTTTCTGTCTTCTTCGTCTTTTTCTGCATTCCTGAGACAAAGGCGTTGCCTCTTGAGGCGATGGATAGGCTCTTCAAGATCAAGCCGACGTGGAAGGCCAACAAGATCTTGCTGGAGGAGCTTCGGGCTGAGAATGAAGAGTTTGGACAGAATACGCAAGGGATTGGGTGGGATACTGAGAAGGAGACCTCGGCTGAGCAGGTAGAATGCGGAACGGCAAAAGCGTAGAATGGGAGCAATAAGGATAGTCACATTCCAGGATATGAAATGTACTACATCGTGGCCGCGTTACTTCTGGAGATTTTGACGAACGCTGTGAAAAGCTGTGAAAAGTGTACCTTGTGTATTGTACATATCATGTTTGAAGAGTTATCTCCGGTGATCAAGGAGATGGGGAGAAGAATCTGAGATTAAGTTGGACCAAGATACGGGGGAAGACCTCTGTCATGGGCGCCGTTCAATTCGTATAGACTGTCACTAAAGCTTTCTCTCGTACCTACACAGTCTCTAAAGCGAAGTTCTCCATTTGCTCATATTTATCTTTATCTACAGCTTCGCTTGTGCTCTAAGTGCTACATTCTCCGCAATAGCAGCCTTCACCTTGTCAGCCGGCAGGGCATCAATTGGTCTCCCAGTCCAGTACGTGTCCTGTTCCAGCCCTTGCCATATCAACGCCTCGGTTCCCAAAATGACAGTCCAGCCCTTACTCTCCGCAAGCATCCCCAAAGCGGTAAACGGCGTAGGATTGTAGCACATCTCCAGCATTGCGCCCTTGTGCTTCTTGTCCAGCAATATCTCTGTAATCTCCCTCGCCAGCTTTTCGCCGCTTGTTCGCGGCGTCAAATCCGGTATACACGCAACAATGGCGCCGGGTCCGTCAGCTTCTATCGCCTGCTCCACCGTAGCAATGTGCAGGAGACCGTCTCCGTAGCCTCGGGACGTGCAGTCTCGGATCACGGCTTCGACCTCGGACGCATCGCGATTTATGAGGTATATTTCTCTGACCTTCATCCACTTTCTCAGGGCATAAATGGCGCTGCGTGCGGCCCCTCCGCCGCCGATGACGAGAGCAGGCCTGTCGTGGTATGTCGATGCTGGATCTTTGACGTTGTACAAGAAAGAGTCGCGGATGCCGATGACATCCGTGTTTGTGCCACACAATATCCGCTGCCCACCATCTCGCTGCTTGAAGAAGACTGTGTTGCAGGCTCCGACATCACGGCATTCGTCCGTCATTTCGTCGAGGTAGGGGAGAATTGCCACCTTGTTGGGCATTGTAACGGATGCACCTGCGGCGAAAAAAAAGGGCATAGTTAGATAGGTGATGAGGTTGTTGACTGAGAGGAAGTTCACATACCGTAGCATGATGGGTGCTGAACCAATTGTAGAAATAGCTGCAGGTCTGATGAATCGAGGCGAAGCTGGGCCCAGCGGAGGTTAAGATGGTCGTAGATGACCTGATGAAGAAAAGGAGACAGAGAGTGGGTGATCTTGTGGCCAAAGAGATAGCAGTGCTTGTCGAGAGATGCACGCTCAATGTCATGATGGGTGGCCTCTGTTGACACTGCCATATTGGGGCGCTTTCAACGATGCTGCAGGGTCGCTGATTCGGTGCCGTCGTCGAGTTAAGCGATGTGGCCGCGCAAGTATCATGATCTTACGGATATGGCGGGTTATAAAAGTGAAGATATGTATGTACAGTAAGGCAAGGTCCACCTTGATGGGGAGCAAGCGGCGAGCTCGATGGCTCACTCAACCACGAAGGGCGGTCGCATGGACGAATGTCCGGGTATTTTCTGAGAGGACTTGTGTTTTCTCTGGGTAATCAATACAGAGCGTGGGGTCATCATACAAACAGCTGCGGTTCTCATGTGGATCGAGAGTTGATGCTTCCCCGCGATCCGGCTAAAGCCTTATCCAGACACAAAACACTCGACGCCTCAACGGCCTGGCACGGTTTTCACGAGACCCCATTTGATGCAGCTTATCTTCTCACTCAAGTGACTTATTGAATCATCATGACGGCTCTCTTGAGCTTCTGGTCACCATGTAGGGACCTCTCGATGCTCCATAGCGCAAGACGATTACTTGTCAGCCGCTTATGAATCGTATCAGAAGTGTCGTATTTCATGAGAGAGGGCTTATGTTTACCCGAAATGTCTGAAGAGCAAGTGATATCACATTTTGGATTGATCAGTGCATGGAAAGTGAGTAATCGAGCTGATATTGTGGGTGGTCCGATGGTGCTTCCCAACATTCGCTACCTAGGTATAAGAGTAGAAGATGGCCAATATCCCTTGTATTGGGTAGAGCGGATGAAGTGCAAATGATAACCCAACCCAACAATCCGCTGAACATATCTGATAACATTATTTTCCCATTCAGACCCCATCTTATTCTGTACAAAATTAGCCGACATGCTCTATAAGCCAAGCATCTGCACCGTCTCCCTGGGGGAGCTCTGCAGGGCACTCCCTAGACCACAAACTTGACATGGCTAGGAAATACGGCTTTCAGGCGATCGAGCTGTTCTTTGAGGACCTCCTCGAAGTAGCAAAGTCAATGGCCGGAGGCGATCCGACGAGCAATCAACTTGCGGCCGCGGCGATAGTCCGCCAGCTGTGTGACGATCGCAAGCTCTCCATACTCTGCTTGCAGCCTTTCATGCACTATGAGGGCCTAGTGGACCGACAACTTCACCAGAAGCGGCTGGAAGATGCCAAATTCTGGGTGCGCTTGGCACATATTCTAGGGACCGATTTGATTCTCCTCCCGAGCAGCTTTCTACCACCCTCAGAAGTATCACCGGACATGGACGTGATTGTCCAGGACATGGTTGAGATTGCGGATGTCGGCCTTGGAGCCTCTCCGGTGATCAGATTTTCTTATGAGGCCCTTTGCTGGGGCACGCGAGTTGATACATGGGAGCGCAGCTGGGAGGTTGTGCAAAGAGTTGACCGATCTAATTTCGGAATCTGTCTTGACACTTTCAACATCGCGGGTCGAATCTACGCAGACCCTTCAGTATCGTCTGGTCAAACAGAGAACTGTGACGAAGCGATTGAAGCCTCTTTGCGTGGCATGATTACCTCTGTCGATCCGAGAAAGCTGTTTTTGGTGCAAATGGCAGACGCAGAGAAACTGGCTCAACCGCTTGACAGCAGCCATCCATTCTACAACTCGGAGCAGCCTGCTCGGATGAGTTGGTCTCGGAATGCCAGGCTGTTTTACGGGGAGTCTCATCTCGGCAGTTATCTACCCGTCAAGAGGATCCTGGACGTCATCATCCGCGACATTGGGTATCAGGGCTGGCTGAGCTTCGAGGTTTTCAATAGGGCGCTGTTGGAGCGTGACGAACGGATACCGGAAATGATGGCAAGGAGAGCGGCACAGTCATGGAAGCTGATGGAGCGAGATCTGGGGCTCGAACATTCAAGCATGGGTTATAAGGCTCAAGCTCTTCTGTAGATATGTTCGTAAACCAGAACAGCAGTCAGTCCTTTTGTATCTACATCCATCTTTTTACGTACTATAGCAAGCAATTGAGATCACAATATCTATTCACCATATCTATGCGATCCCGCGTGGGAGACTTAAATAGAATCAAGGACGACTCCGCGATAGAAAATTTGGATTCTTTGCAGGATAAATGCTATGCAATACCAGAGTCCACATGAAACATCTCCTCCAGCGTACAACCAGGGGCGAATCCAAGATTCATCATAAACTGGGGATCTATGCCAATACTTTCCGCATAGTCAATATTGCCAAGCTCCTCTAATATAGCATCATAATCAACCACGTCAGCATGGGACTCCGCGGCTTGTGAATCACGGCCAGCTGGCTGTATCGCAGCCCCTGAAACTGGCGAGAACAGCAACTCAAGAGCTGGTGGAAGCTGCGCGGGAGAAGGTTTATGCTGGCCCGTCGGGTACAGATGATTGCTGGAGGGCATGTCCATATCCGCTGGGAGAAATCCATATCCCTGGCTAAACGATCCTGCTGAAGATTCTTGGCAGTCTTGATCCATTGGATCATGCCGTCTCAAGAGCTCTAAGTCAACGCTTCTTTGCCAGGAGCTGTTATTTGCCGTTGAAGTCTCGGGCGATATGCTCGTTGTACTTTTAGCCGTCTCATCTTGCAGCCACACAGCCTTGATTGTGTTTAATGCTGAATTCCACCTCTTCGTTTCGGATGTCCGCATTTCACCCATTGCCCCCTTTTGCTGCACAAGTAAAAAGAGCGCAACGGTAATGGGCGGTGTGCCGCAAGCCCCGAAATTCGCGATGCTGGACTCGACCACCTCCAAGAAGTTGGATATGAGTGAAGAGCGCTGGCCTGGGACAAGCTCGACGGTCGTAGCCAGGAACATAGCCTGAACAAGGAAAGCTGATGGTAACATTGGTGTTGCCTCTCCGGCGATGACAGAGTTGCAGAAGCCAAATTGCGGATCCAACGATGAGACGAGATCTCCGACGGTAACAGCCTTGACGGAAAAGCCTTTTCGAAGCTTCCCCGCGGCGTGGGAGCTCAATATTTGAGCAAATCGATTCAGCTGATCTAGAGCGCCGAGGGAATGTGCAGCTTGGGGGCAGGGGGGTTCAGGGTTTGACAGGAGCTTTCCAAAGCCGTATGCCGGGCAGAAGGAATCCAGACCATTCTGCCTCTCGAATATTCGAAGACTCTCAATATCCGACAAGTGGGACGGCTGTCCAATGCAAATCGATGTCAGCGCTTCGACAACGTTGCAAGCAGCAGCCAGTCTCTCTAGGGTTGATTTTTGCAACTCGCTGTGCGTTTGCGATGCCTTGCTGGACCGCATATATGAAATGAGTCGCGCCGCTTTTCCAGCTATTACGGAGGCGCCCAGTACGTTTTCGCGACCAACAAGGATAATTGCGTGAAGGAGAAGTGCCTGAATGCCCGATATATCGAGTTGGTCCTCCTCTTGTGGAACCAAGCTGCGTGCCACTGCCAGGATCTCAGCTGGCGACGTGATTTCATCATTCATGCTAGGGGCTGAAGAGTGTGCGTCTTGTAAGGCCGCAACGGCCAGGGCTGACCATAGAATAGCAAGGCTAGAGGGAGTGATATCCTTCCCACTCGTATAACCATAGACAGTCGGGGACAAGGAGTCGCATGTAGCTGCGCTGGCAAGAATGTAGTCCCGGTCGAGTATAGGAAACCAGCAGTGAGTATACGCGAAATATATGTCGAGGAGATGTCGATAATTTGAAGGCAGCCTCAGCGCCCGACCTTGGACTCGCCCGGACTCTTTCGACGAGGAGCACGAGTCAAGGTTTGCCGTAGTGTTTGTATGAACTTCCCCTAACCGCTGTCTCGTCTCGTTGATCGATTCCTCCATGGTATCGGCGTCCGAATCCGTGTTTCCAGCAACAGATGAGTCTGCTCTTTGCGAACCGCCTTGGCAGAGCAACGTCTCAATTTCCTGATGGACTCGACAGTTGCTCCATTGCTTCTGCAACCTGCTCGAAGATCCGCCTTTGCCCACAAGGACGCTCAAGCCATCTTTTCCACCATCCTTGACGAGCAGTTGATACAAAGCTTCCTCGCAGTCAGGAACACTTTCCAGTAGCCAAGCCAGCGACAACTCAATGGCTCTCAGATATCCGCTCTGGATGCCCCTCTTCTTTGATGTTGGAGTATATGAACAGGATCGGTTTTGAGACACGCAGCGGCCACACCGTGGGCGGTCGCCGTCGCACTTCTCCCGAGCTGTTCTGCAGGCGTCACAAGCCAGAGATACTCGTCGTCGCTTGGCCTCCGATGTGGCTCGGTCGGACCTCCTAGCAGACTCCGGGTCGCCGGGTGATCTCTTTCGGGGCGGCATGTTGGTCGATCATGTCTCACCGAAATCGTGATGGCTGCTTAGGTTCGAGTTGTAGGTTGGACAGTCTGAAGTTGCCTTACCAGCATCGCACGCCCCGACGCCAGCCGTCAAGTCCGAATGAAGTCCGCAAGTCTGGAGGTTGAGAAGCTTAGATTTGCCTTCACGATAGTCATTCAGCCGACTTTCTGGTTTCCCGAGTCAAGCAGCTTCAATCATCCTCAACGCTATTGGCCAAGGCGTCCAGCTGGGGAAAACCTGGGGTAAAGCTGGAGACGTAGCTTGAGCTCTAAGTGGGTGGCAATAAAGCCCGGGTAAATGCTTATCCCCCCTCTCTACTGCTACGAAAGGGCGGCCAGAACGCTGCTAGCAGACATCGTCGCCGTTGGTCTTACTCCCAAGAGATCTTATCTTCATGTTGAACACGTTCTGAGGCAAAGACATCCGCCAGAATATTGACAGAATGAGGCATCATGGCTGGCGTCAAAAGACCGTTGGCTACCATGACGGGCGCCACTGAAGAACCACTCACCGTCGGTCGTCGATTGAAGTATTGTACCCTGACAAGCGTGTCGTCAGAACCAGAGAACATCTCAAGGACACCCACGCCGCCAAATCCGTTTGCCAGAGCCAGAATACCAGACTTCAGCTCCGATGCCTCTCTCGTTCTAGTCGGCCTCCGCGGATCCGGGAAATCGACGTTGGCCATCATGGCCGCATCCGCTCTGAAGAAGAGCATCATCAACGTTGAGGCGGCATTTCAATCAAGTACTGGTTCATCAAGCTCAAGCTTCAGACAAAGCAACGGAAACGTCGAGTGCCAACGAAGGCAGGCCGCCGTACTCCAAGAGGTCCTTGAGCAGAATCCGACAGGATGCATCATCGTTTGTCCATGGATGGAGAGGAAAGTCCAAAGCCTCCTAAGACAGTTTGCAGCGACCAATCCAGTTGTCCACGTCCTTCGAGATATCGGTGCCATCCAAGGCCACCTGAAGATCAAGGATTGGTCAAAGGCTCATAACTTGATGCAGATGAGCAACTTGTTCTATCGCAGCTGCACCAATCTAGAGTTTTTCAACGTCTCCGAGGTCCGAGAAACCTCCTTTGAAGGAAATGAGGCCGATCATCAAGGGCTCACAGCAAACGCTCCCTATCTCGCCCTCAAGCCGGCGGAGAGACATTTCCTGAAGTTCCTGTCTCTCGTGTATCCCGCTGGTACCATCCCATTCTTCGAATCTGCCTTTCCTCTCGCCAGCATTGCGCCCGAGCATAGGCA